GTCCGATTGTTTCCCTGATGGGGGCAACTGATGTATCAGAACTGTAGTCGGTAAACCGATCCAGCATCAGAACGCAGCAAAGCCTGCAGGCAACATCGTTGAGCCATCCACGATTTAGGTCGTTGTTGTCCTCGACTGACTTGCCCCGAACTCTCCCAGCCCCGCCACCGTGGACTCGGAGAACCTCACGCAGTGCCATGGCAGCGCCGTGTCGCGTTTCCCATGAGGAGTCAAAAAGGTCAATCTTGAGAAATTCGCACAGCCGCTCGTACGGCCACTCAGCGCCCTCCATAGACTCCTCGGCCTCGAGTTCAGATTTGATTTGCATCACTGATCCTTTGAATTCGCTAACAACTTTGGCATCTTCGTCGAGGTCGGCTGGGCGTTCGAGATTAAAGTAGTCATTTACCTTCCCATTCTTCTTCGATTCGTGTTCTCCCGTCGGGGTGTCGTCTCCAAATCCTTCAGATCCAGCAGTTGTCGTGCGTCGCAAAGAGAGATCTCCGAAGCCGCCTTTGCCTTGTGCTTTCATTGCCTCCTTCTTTCGTTTCCGTTTCAGCACGTTCAGTTGCCTTGAACTAAGCTGGGACTCTTCTGCGGCCTGACTCTGGGATTGCGTTCCCTCGCCTTTGTTGAAATTATTACCATTGGAGGTATCAAGGGGTGTTTTGGGCACCCCATCCCCTACAATAATTTCTTCGTCTTCGAATTTCCTCCCCAGCAAGCCAAGTCGACCTAAGAGTGTCTTCTTCTGGTACTCTAAACGGGCCTGAGGATCGAGGGAAGCAAGGTTGTACTCTATACCGCCGCCACGTAGAAGCGGCCGGCCAAATTTCAAGATGGTGTCCACATCGAGTGTCTCAAGCCTAAACACTTCGTCGTCGGAAAGAACCGATAACGCTTTGTTATCTTCCTCCTTCTTGATTGCGCCATTTTCAGGTGAGCTGTCTTCTTTCTTAGGTTCACTTGCAGCATCTCCTGAATTAGGATCATAGAGCGGGGCATTCTCTATAATTTTACCGATAGCCTTGGCCGCTGTCGTCCTCGTCTCCCAGTCTTTGTAGCGAAGATACGGAATTACCCGTGACAAGAGATTAAAAAGTTCATCGGGGTGTTGCTTTTGCCAGTCAGCGAGCTGATTGACTGCAGTGTCCCGAATGAGCCGGGTGCTCCCCGTCTCGAGGATACTAAAGGAATTGGTCAGCTATGGGGATTTTGGTTTTAAGATATGGAACAATGGATAGGCACTGTGAGCGGGTTATTGGGAGGAATAAAGAAACTCACGTAACTAATCGATCAAGTCTGTCGAGAAAGCGTTAGTCACAAGCTCTGCCGCCGAAGAAGGGAAATTGGATGAGAAGCTTACCTGGAAGTCATTGTGTCGTCGTATTAGAGTGGTATATGAATGATGTTTTGGGGCTCATGGCATAATGAGATAGAAGCTCTGTGCATCCGGTTAGTTGGCATCACTAGTAGTTGGCGTGCAAGTCCGAGAAGTAGAAGCAGCAGCAGGCAAGAATCTGTGATCGATTAAAGCTGAAATAGATGTGGCAGCATTTCTGATTGCAAGTTTAGGTGGTCTGTCCATTTGCATTGCAGCGCATCAGGCGCATGTGCGAAAAATGCAGCTACATGCTTTGTGTCGAAGCTCATGGGCTATGCGCAGTGAAGAAATTCAAAATAGCAGCAGTTGCAGGGCAGTGATGCGGCGCTAAGTCCAGCAGAGGCGCACAACGCACACGCAACGTGCCACAGGGCTTCAAAACCCATCCAGGGCTGGTATTACTTGAGGGAGCAGTGGTGCAAACAATGGAATAGCAGTGGAATAACAGTGAGATGCAGCAGCCTGGGGATACCAGAAGCAAGTACATGAATTGCAGCAGCGATGTCGATGGTGAAGGCGACAATCGCAGATAAGATAAGGTGTGCATCGATAGCATGTAAATCAGCGGCTAGGGTGACAGGGATGGGATGGGGCGACGAAATGGGGAAGAGCATGGCAGGACGGAATGGCGTAATGAAACACGGCGCGGCAGAGAGTGGGAGAACTTGCCTGTGTCAGTATCAACAGTGCCGGTGCGCTGGGATGAGCCCTACCGATGCAGTGTGATGCACCGAGAGGGCGGGAGCGTGGCCAGGTGCAAAATGCGGCTGAGCAAAGAGGCAGATTCAGATGCGACCGAATGCGCGGCGATGCGATGCGATCGGTGGTTTATATCGGTCAGCGCCGGCGTGGGCAGGTACCCGTCACCGTGGCAAGTACCCGGCAAGGCAGCTGGGACCGGGGGTTGGGGGCTGGTTCGCGCAGCTCTCAATGGCGCATGCGCTATTGGGCAGGAGTGCTGGAGGCGGCTGGAGGGGCCAGAAGCAAAAACAAGAGAGGGCCGTCCAATGATCGCGTGCGAAACGATGGATGCGCGCAAGCGTGGAGAGCTGCTGCTACCTTGTGTGCGTGCTGTGCCGGCAAGAGCCTGAAGGCAGCAATTGAGCTAGGCCGGGCTGGTTCAGTCTGAAAATAACTGCCTGACGGCTGTAAGTCAGTATGGACATCCGTGTTCGAAATTGCGTGCGTCAACGTGATTGGAAAAAAAATAAGCATCAGTAGCGTTGTCTGTGCTGTAATGCATTGGACTCTCAGCTGGGACACGTACGAGTAAGGCAGCGATGCAGCGCAGCGCAGCAGTGGCGGCGAGTCGAGCAAGTGGGCGGTGCGTGGCGCTGGTTTGCCTCTGTGCTGCTGCGCTCTGGGCTCGCGACGCTGGCCGATGCGACTATGGCAGAAGGTCGGGCAGGGCTGGGACGGGGAGAATTGAGTGGAGGGCAGGCCGGGCTTTCTATATGTCTATGCCTGTATTTTTATACACGCTGCCATCCCATCAGCCAACGGGCTCGCTTAATGTCCCTAATGCCTCTCTAGCGCGAGAAAAGCGGGGCGCCTGTCTCTCATCGTTGATTCTAGGACTCAAATGGCGTAGTACCTGCACAAAGCAGCGCCAGTGCGCCGGCTCCCATGTGCCCTACTGATACGGATTATTTGGCCCCGATCAGAGCTATCGAGTACCTAACCCCAGGCAGTGCTATATTTCACTGATACTTTGTGCCTTTCAGTAGCAGTCCATCTACCCATTTTCTCATCCATCAATCATCTTTACTTGTATGATGAGTATGAAGGCGGTAATAGCCTGCTCCATGGATGGATCTTGCTTTGGCTCGTGATTCTCTTCCTGCTGCTGAGCGGAAGAGAGGAAGCAATTACCCGGGCGAGTACGGAGCAAGGCTGGCATGCCTATTTTCAAGTACAGAGCAGGCCATGCTGCTTCGCGAAAGGACTGATCTCTTTCTGCGGCGTGCATATAGGCGAGCGCATCGACACGGGTACAGCTGACACGTCAATAATCTTTACTGCCGTTCTTAGGTGCTTGCTAATGTGCCGGTCTATCGAGATAGGCTCAGTCCCGATTCCGAGTGATGCAGGATTGCCGCGAGGTATAGAATCGCAGCGACAGCAGAGATGGAATAGGCACGCAAGGATCTGGAGGCCACCATGCTTGGGGAGGGGAAGACCAGGCATGCCAGAATATGCTTTCCTCCCCGGCAGATACCGGGTGCCAACCCTCCGCAGCCTTGTCCATCCAACTTTGGCCATGCTGCCGGACGCGTTCATCAATTTGCGTTGCTTTCTCTACCTTGGCCACACAGATGGTACGCGATAGGCAAATGTGCTTTATTAGGCGAAAAGCCATCCGTTTGCGTAGGGCTGGTAGCTCCATGCAGTGTTGTTTTTGGGACAACTTTCGCCCCAGTGCCTATGCAGCTCTCGACAGTGCCAATTTTAGAGCATGTCACTGACCTGGTGAAATCGTCTCTTCATCTCATCAAACTGGGGAACACAAGCCTAGACCGAGTGGGCGTTCGTCCCCTGATCGCCCTAGGGAAAAGAAGCGCTGCTTCGCTTTCTTAGCGGCTTCTTTTCTGCATGGAGCTTTGTCCCAACTGCGTATACGATTGTCGAAAAGCGCAGCCCCTTACATGCCATGTCGCAAATTTTTTCTCCGCTTGGCTTCTTGAGACATGCGCGGCCATGGCTGGTTGGTGCAAGGTCAGATCTGACTTGTCTAGATCGACCCGTTTGGGCGTAATCTAAAATTGCCGTGAGACGCTATTGTCCCTGCTGCTCAGCAGTGGTTGGTCAAACACACGCCATCGATCCGCAGCTTGTTAGGCCTGGCTTCTGCATTATCCACCTGCCTATGACGATCAGTACGCACAATGGTCTGTCCACGCTCTTCCCGCAGTACCTGCTGGCACTTGGTAGCGTGGTTGTGAATTCGGATGACGGCATACCAACAGTAAAATGCACGAATGTCTCAAAGTTTATGGCATTTTCATTGTTATTTTCTCTTTAATGTTCCTTTTCTATTTAGAACTGACCAGCTATCAATTGCTTCCCGCATGTTCCGCACGTGCCTTATTAGCAGGCATAGGTATTAACCAGTAGCTTTCCCTACTTGCACTCTACACACAAAGAAGAATACCAACGTTGAGATTCATACAGAGCTCTTTTGTATTCCACATATATGTGTGGTAGGAGCAGTAGGGGCAGTAGGATATCGTTGTAGTTGATGGTAGAGCTGCGTGCTTGCAACGGGAGTTTTATGCTCTACCCTTTGCTTGCATGGAATTACTCGATTGTATCACGGAAGAAGAATGAAATAAGAGAGGCCAAGAAACAACTAGTGCGTGTATCTATTTCTCACATTCAGCAACAAGAGAATTGCAAAGGTTACAGCTCGGGATATTTCGCGTGCGTTCGCAGTTTTCTCTGCTAGTACACAGGCAGGCTTGCCCCCCACGCCTCAGCAGCCATATGCGATTGATAGGATTGCACAATGATATATCTCGTTGTCTACCCTCGTAAAAACCACTCAACAGCTCTCAAGCTGCTATCTCTCAAGCTGCTGTAGACCATTAATGACTTTTTTTTTTTTTTTTTTTTTTTTCAATTGCAATTCTTCATGCTTGAATGGCTGATATTTTGCTGGCTTTTGGACAAACTCTAGGGTAGTACAAAAGCAACACTACTAGTGGCAGCTCCAGGCGCCAGTCCAGACCCAGCAGCTCAGCAGCCTGAGCTCCCATCGATACCTTATTTTTTAGGCGCTAATCTTAGATGGGCTGGTAGTGCAACGCGACTTCGAGCCTCTGTTTAATCGCGGGCCCAAACGAGACGCGTCGCATCGCATGCTGGCAGCGCATTAGCACTTTATTGATTTTGCGCAAACTCCCGGCAGAATCTCAAATCCGCAGCCTCCTCGTCCCTTGGATGTTGCGCACCGGCGCCCGCGCAGCCTACCATGTATATCAAGCAAATCATCATCCAGGGCTTCAAAAGGTGTGGAATCGCAACCCCGCCAAGAGACACAATAGTAACTATGCTGACTTGACGCCGTAGCTACAAGGACCAAACGGTCATTGAGCCCTTTTCCCCCAAGACGAACGTCATCGTCGGCCGTAATGGATCGGGAAAGAGTAACTTCTTCGCGGCGATTCGCTTCGTCCTCAGCGATGCATACACTCAAATGAGCCGTGAAGAGCGCCAGGGTCTTCTCCACGAAGGCTCAGGCTCGGCCGTCATGTCGGCCTATGTTGAGATTATCTTCGACAACAGCGACGATCGATTTCCGACCGGAGGCAAGGAAGTTGTGCTGCGACGTACCATTGGTCTCAAGAAGGACGAATACTCAGTGGACCGCAAGGTTGTGACCAAGACAGACGTCACCAACCTGCTGGAGGCGGCAGGCTTTTCACGATCTAATCCGTACTATATTGTGCCCCAGGGCCGTGTCACTGCCTTGACGAACATGAAGGAGTCTGAGCGATTGAACCTGCTCAAAGAAGTTGCGGGTACCCAAGTTTACGAAGCCCGCCGCGCCGAATCACTCAAGATTATGAATGAGACGAACAACAAGCGAGAGAAGATTGATGAGCTTCTTGAGTATATCAAGGAGAGACTGGCAGAGCTAGAGGAGGAAAAAGAAGAGCTGCGTGGTTTCCAAGAGAAAGACCGAGAGAGGAAATGTCTGGAATATGCCTACCACCACAGGGAGCAAACCACTGTCCAGGCCGCCCTAGAGGAAATTGACAGCGCTAGGCAAGACGGCCTTGATAATGCGGACACGAGCCGCGGCCAGTTCCTGGAAGGAGAAAAGGCCATCTCCAAGATCGATGTCGAAATTCACAAGCTGGAAAGAGAATTGGAGCTTCTACAAATCGATCGACGCCAGCAGGAGGAAGATAGACGCGACAACGCCAAGATGCTGGCCAAGGTTGAGCTGAAAGTAAAGAATCTAAGAGAAGGACAGTCCGCCCTGGAACAGGCTCGGCAACGCCACGATTCTGAACTCGCATCTGTACAGAATGAGATTGCAGCCAAGGAAAAGGAGCTGTCGCGACTACTTCCAAAGTATACACAAACAAAGAATGAGGAAGATGAGGTCAGAAGGCAGCTAGACGCCGTTGAGGCGCTAAGATCACGTCTCTTTGCAAAGCAAAGCCGCGGCTCCAGATTTAAGAATCGCTCCGAGCGCGATGCTTGGCTCAAACAGGAAATTGAAGAACTCAGCTTGACCATTAGCACTCAAAAGGCAAACAAGCTAGATGCTGATGAGGAGGTTGTTAGAGTGCAAAAGGCAATCGAACAGGGCGAGAGCGAGGTTGCTGCACTGCGCTCACGTTTAGCCAACTGGAGTGGAGACCGAGGCCAAGTGGTAGACGAAGCTGCCCAGGCACGAGCGACACTGGATAGATTAAACGACGAACGAAAGCTGATTCGACGAGAGGATGACAAGCTGAACACTGTTATTTCCAACGCTAGGCAAGAGAAAGAGCACGCTGAGAGAGAATTAGCCCATGCGGTAGATGGAGCCACCGCTCGAGGTTTGGCCACCATACGTCGATTGAAGCAGGAGCAAGATATCCCAGGTGCCTACGGAACACTGGCAGACCTTCTGGAGGTCAGCGACGCATACCGGCTACCTGTTGAGCAAATTGCTGGCGCCAGCTTGTTCCACTATGTCGTGGACAATGCCGATACTGCTACTTATCTTGCAGACACCATGTACAAACAGCATGGCGGTCGAGTAACATTTATGCCACTGGCTCAGCTTCGTCCTCGCAAAGTCAACTTTCCAAATTCCAATGACGCAGTTCCCCTTTTGAGCAAGATCAGCTACGACTCCAGGTTTGAGAAAGCATTCCAGCAGGTATTCGGCAAGGTTGTTGTATGCCCTAACCTTGCCGTGGCTGCTCAGTATGCCAGGAGTCATGGAGTGGATGGTATTACTGCGGAGGGTGACACTTCCAACAAAAGAGGTGCCATGACTGGTGGTTATATTGATCCTCGAAAATCGCGCCTTGATGCTGTACGAGCCGCCAACAAATGGAGAGAAGAGTTTGACCGGCTTGTTGAACAATCCCGCGATATCCGTAGGCAGATTGAGCTCAAAGACCAGGAAATTACTGGCGCAATGTCCGAAGTTCAGAAATTCGAGCAGAGACTCCGACAAGCAGAAGATGGCTTCGAGCCGTTGAAGCATGAGCTTCGAAATAGGTCCTCTCATATCGAAAACGAGAGGAACCGCCTTGATGGGGCCATCAGGAGGCGAGACGCAGTTGAGAAGAATATGAGCGGATTCTTGCAAGAAGTTGCAGCCCACGAGGCTGAACTAGGAACAGACTTCAAGAAGACCCTTACGGCAGCTGAGGAGCGAGAGCTCGAGGGATCAAGCCTTTCTGTCCAGCAACTCCAGAAGCAGTGGAATGATATGAGCAACGCCCGGCGAGTTCTTGAAAGACAGAAGCAGCTGCTGGAGATTGACTTGCGGCAGAATCTACAGATGAAGCTGGACCAGCTCAACAGCCAAGCCTTTGAAAACTCCGCCTCTGGTGGCGCTTCTGGCACCTTGAAAGAAACTGAGCGAGAATTGAAAAAGGCCCAGAAAGCTTTGAAGGCCGTTGAAGCTGATTTGAACGAGACCGAGGCCAAACTCGATGAGCTCAATTCTCGCTTGGAGCAGTTTGAATCAGAAAAGGTCAATCGTGAGCAGGTCCAGCTAGAAATTTCCACGAGGATCGAGAAACAGCAGAAGAGAATGGAGAAGACACTGCAGCGAAAGGCTCTCTTGATTTCACAGGCGGCAGAGTGCGCGAAGAATATTCGGGAGCTGGGAGTATTGCCCGAGGAAGCTTTTGATAAATATGAAAACATGCAAGCCAACACCGTAAGTCGTAGCATCCCATGACTTCTCCTGACAGCTGGAGAGGCAGACCGAGAGAAGCTAACAAATTGTCTGGCTAGATTACATCAAAACTGAAAAAGGTCAACGAGGCACTGAAAAAGTATAAGCACGTCAACAAGAAGGCCTTTGAGCAGTACAACAACTTTACGACTCAGCAGGAGCAGCTGATGAAACGTCGAAAGGAATTGGACGATTCTCAAGGATCGATTGAAGAGCTCGTGGAGCACCTCGATCGGCGAAAGGACGAGGCCATTGAGCGTACCTTCAAGCAGGTGTCCAAGGAGTTTGCCACTATTTTCAGCAAGCTTGTCCCGGCCGGTCATGGTCGTCTGGTCATTCAGCGAAAGACAGATCGTCGCCAAGATGCCGATGAGTCAGACGAAGAAGCCAGAGGCAGCGTTGAGAATTACATTGGTGTTGGTATTAGCGTGTCTTTCAACTCTAAGCACCTTGATGAACAGCAAAAGATTCAGCAGCTCAGTGGCGGTCAAAAGAGTAAGTGTCATACCCTTGCAGAATTCATCTGCATAAGCCTCAAATATATGTTATGGACCCCCCGCTAACTCCGAGATCCTCCAGGTTTGTGTGCTCTCTGCCTCATTTTCGCACTGCAGCAAACCGAAAGCAGCCCTATGGTTATTTTCGACGAAGTTGATGCCAATTTGGATGCGCAATACCGTACTGCTGTTGCTTCTCTCCTCGAGTCCATCTCCAATGAGGCTGGCACGCAGTTCATTTGCACTACTTTCCGACCCGAGATTGTCCATATTGCAGACAAGTGCTATGGTGTTACATTCCGCAGCAAGACGAGTTCAATCAACTGTGTGAGCACGGAAGATGCTCTCAATTTTGTCGAGGGACAGGCCAAGCCAAACTAGAAAGAATACATAGCGAGCGAATGTTGGTATATCATAGTATGACGCTTGACTGAACTTCAGGTACTGCTGGCATTTGAGACAACCTGGGGGAAAAAGGAAAAAAATGGGAAGGGCGGAGTACGGCGTTGGGTATAGTGGACAACCCATGTGTATTTTGAAGGCCTGGTGGATATTGCTATAATTTGTACGAAAGAGATGACGCTGGCTAATGTGTGGAGGATTCTTTGATGTTTACGAGATCAATTTTTTTTTTTTTCGGTATTAGCCCTTCCCCGTAACAAACTTATATATAGTCGAGGTAGAGCAGGCCAACGTTTGGAGATTATACCCGGATGATCTTGGCTGCTCTAGCCAGCTTGATATGAAATATTTTTATTGTTTGTGTGCAGGCAGCTCGACTCTAATATATCTAAGCACTGGTGTTTTGTAAACAATATTTTGGAAGCCAAACGGCACAGCGTCTTGCGGCTCAGACTATTGATTGTACAGTTTTCGTCATTCATATCACAAGCGGTTTTACCACTCCGATAAGCATATGGCATACAACTAGAACAAGGAATAATGCACAGGCGCCGTGAAGCTGTTGTACAATAAAAGTGTAAATTATACAAATCGGTAATGTTACACGTAGATAGCCAAATCTGAATCTCGGCATATCTTCTTCATCATCATATACATCAATTGCCCACCTTCTATTCCCCCTTTTCCCTTTTTCCCTTCCTTCAAAGTTTTCTTTTTCTTCCTTTTTTTACCTATCAGCCATCATATTCCTAACACCACGGAAGTACTCCGGCGCCAACTCCTTCTCCAGCTCTTCCCGTGTCAACCACTTAAAGTCTGTGTATCCAAAGGGGTTGCCCTTCAGGTCGGCCTGGCCAGCCATGATCCTTCCCTTGATGAAGAAGGTCTTTTGGCCCATCTTCTGGACCTCGCCGTCTTTGCCTAGGACGGGCTCCTGGACGACGTGGGCGACGGGGACGCGGCCGACGAGCCAGGTGTTCATGTTGACGCCGGCAGCTTGGTCCATTACTCTCTTTGCGCCCTGCTCCATTGTTAGCCCCTCGTTGTTTTTATAAAAAAAAAAAAAAAATCAAGCATATGTCCGCCTCGACGTACCTCGTGGAGGTTCTCATCCTTGAGAACATCAGCAGGGAAGCCCCACCCATCCGGACCCTTGACAACAAGATAGAGCGTCCTCTCCATCTGGCGATCCAGCCGCCTCACATCATTCTTCTTATCCGCCTCGGACAGCCTCTCTGCCGGCCTCTCAACAGGCACGACATCCTCCGGCGCAATGACCTCCGCATCGTCACTCACACGCGCGGCAGCGTCCTTGAGCAGACTATTGAGCACGCTCTCCTGCGAGCTCAGCTGGTCGCCGACTTTCAGCTCATCGTCCCACGCCTTGGAGCTCTTTCCGTGGTACGTCCCCAGCTCCTTGGCCACCGTGCCGCCTCGCTCCTGGACCTTGAGGCTCCAGTCTAGCTGCGCCGCCGTGTCGGGCTTGAAGTATATGCTTGTGATAAAGGGCGTGTTGAGACGTTCCTCCAGACGCTTCTGGTAGAAATAGTAGGCGTTCTCGAACGGGTGGAGGGTTCTCGTCAGGAGGGGCGGCCGTGTGAGGACGAGGCCGGAGCGGATATCATAAGGATAAGGTGTTTTGGTCGAAGCCGGAGGAGGAGCAGCATCAGTAACAGAAGCTTTTGTCTCCGTCGCTGCAGCCGCAGAGTAGAATCGCGTTGTTGCGCATCTGGAGCAGATTGTAGGGGATGCTATATAGTAAGAAAAAGAGGTTTCGTATATTAGTCCTTCTTCTTTTTGTCTTCAATTGATTCCTGTGAAGAATGAATTTCTTACATGAGAAGATGCCTCGAACGGCTCTGCTGCCTCTACTTGACGCTGCCATCATGGCGGAATCGCGAATGGCTGCTGTGTTTAAACCCAAGCACCACCTTTTTGATTATCCGTGATGTCCTTGCGCCTCGAACTTTTTTGCTTCCATCCAGCACCAGTACGTACCTCACCCCACCAAGCGAACGCTTGAAAACATTACATAATCCGAGCAAATCCTAGCGTTGTAGTTCTTGCTGCCTCAGGCTCTATTATTTCCGCCGCTGCGCTGCCCAGCTAGAATATTTCCCACAGATCCCCGTTTCACTTTTTTTTTTCTTTTCCCTTTTCCCTTCTTCTCAAGGCACTATTACCTTATCGTCAAGTCTTGTTTTAACACCCCCAAAGCGTCTTGATCATTTATCATGTGCCGAGAGAATTCCAACGCAGTCTTTTTCGCTAGCGGCACCTTTTTTTATTTTCCCACTGGGTTCTGTTAGATAGATACTGCTGACATTTTTATTACCACAAAATCCAAAATTCTTAAAAAAAAAAAAAAAAAAAGAGAGCCCTTTTTGGGCGCCAAAAACTTCTCCTTTTGCCTACTTTTCCCTTGTTTTCCTCTTCGTGTTCCCACCCCGTTGTTGTACTGACTATGAATGAAGTTTTCTTCTGTTTTTCTCTACTGTCTACCATTGCATTAACTTTGTGATATCGGAATCAAGCACACACGAGCGATCATCGCCGCGGATACTTCGATGTTTTTATGTCTCATGCTACCTGTCTTCTAAGACTGGACGTACAGAGATAGCATAACATGCGTTCAGAAGAGCTACCGGCATTTCGTTCACTTGTCGAATACATGACCGGTAAAACTCCTCGAGTCATCGGGACCTGTTGGCTAAATTTAATTCAGTCAGGTGTACAAAATTCCACCACAGATACCGTGGTGTGGATCGATTTAAATTCAAGCTATTGCTGGTTCTAAACCCTAGAATCCTCGTCCCAATGATGAAAGGAAAAACGCATCATGTATGAAAAGTACGATACATATTCAAGCACGATTCGCAATGCGCCGTAGCAGGATCGACAAGCGCTATCAGTATGACAAGAACTAAAACAAATGCCCGACTCCTATTACACCTCGGTGTCCCTAAAATAAAATGCACTTCGCCGTCAACGAGGCTGGGGGTATCAAACCATGATTGGACCGCCGACAAAAGCCTTAAAACGCCAGACCAAATGCTTCTTTTTGCTTGTGCACCCGTGATCAGGCTTGAAGTTCGGAGATGGCCCGAGCCACCTCTTGGGTGACCCTCTTCTCCCAGATTTGTCGTCGAGATTCGTCATCAAGTGAGGACGCGTCCTTCACTTCGTCGTAAAGCTTTCGTGAGATGTCACGGTTGATTATTGCATATTGTTCTTCAGTCAGCTTCTGAGCCCGCCAGTGCGGCCTGAGAGCGTTTCGGACAATTTCATTAACATGTTTCTTTTCTTCTGTCGTCATGGCATGTCTCATTGAGTTCTCATCTCCCCGCGTCGAACCGGACTCGGGTGATGCTTGATGCACACGTCGCGGCCGGGGTTGGCGAAGTTCCAGAGGTCGACTCTCAAGTCGGTTCTCGCTCCGGCCTTCAGTTCGAGGTTCTGGTTTTGGTGGGCGCGACTCAGAATCGCTATGATCGCTGCTGCTGAAGCGAGTGGGCGAGTAACTTGTGGGGGAATTTGTTGGTGAATAATTTGCAGGCGGGTATACCGGCTCGATGTGCGTGCTAAGGGATAGAGTCGGAGACGATGGCCGTCCGTTGAGATTGGGTAATGGAGGTGGAGTTAGCGAAAGAGCGCGAGGGCTGCCGTAAGCAGATGGCGATGGGGAGAGAGCTGGCGAAGATGCCTCATGGAAAGGGCGCCAGCCAGATGTGACACCGGACGCCTCATCCTCGGAATGAGCATTGGGCTCTAGCTCTTTGAGCAAAGAGGATACAACAAGAGTGGGCTCGGCGTCGGGTTGGCCTGCATTACTGGTTCTCAGAGAAGAGCCATTGGCGAGCCTTCCTGTGGATGAGCTGGCCGGTGGCACAGCCGCAGTTGAGCTTTCGCCGTGCGTGGGAAGACGTCTAGTTCGCGGGCGCTTGAGTTTTCTCTCAGGTTCTTGGGTAGGTGGTTCAATGGGCGAGGCCGTCACAGACCGAGCCTTTCGTTTACGAGTGTTTGGGCTGTTGGTACCTTCGGCCTCTCGAGCACGATCCAACGCACCCCAGGCCTGCCTCTCTTCCCTCGTCTCAACAGGCGGTGGCGGGGGTTGAAGGCGCTCGCTAATCCGAGGCGGTATACTGCTCGCAAAGGACTCTCGTGCACCTAGACGCTGTGCAATGTCCATCCGTTGCTGCCACCGCTGCAGCTCCCGCCGATCAAGCTGTTGGAACCTGCGATAACGTCCAAGATCTTCATCCTCGTCGTCATGGTTATCGAGGTCCAGCTCGCTTATCTCAAAGAAGCGGCCAGAGAACTGTCCCCAAGCACCCTGCCATTCAAGGTTGCGTGCTTGGCGGCGTGCCCTCCTGAGACGAGCGCGGGTGCGGACATGGAAGCCTCGGTTAGATCGAGGAGCTGGAGGGATAGTGATCTGAGGCCTCTCGCCGTTCTCCGACGCAGCTCCCGACTCTGGCTGTTCCTCTGTCGTCTGGAACAGATGAGCACATTCCATGCAATACCAGGCACCCTCGGGGATGTAATCGAGACCGATGCAGTGCGTGTGGTAGGCTGCATCACAGCTATCGCAAAGCAAGAGGATGTCTTCTCGCTCTGCCGAGTCGCAGATGGGGCATGGGTTGGATTCCTCCTCCTCTTCTTCGGGGTTCTCCCCGAGCCACTGCTGTACATCGAATTCGGCAACCTGCTTTTTATCCTCGACGTCGTAGGTGGAAACGGCGATGCCTGTAGGATTCGCCCCATGTGAGTTAGCATTTGGCATAACCATGTATTACAGTGTGGCTGCGGAGGTACTTGTACACAGAGGGGCGGTAGCTGTAGCTGTAGCAGGCAGTAGCTGAACTTACCATCCAGACCGTTGTAGACTCGAACCGAGTGGAAGGGCTTGCGGCAGATGGGGCAAGTATTGGTCTTTTGAGCCCAGGAGCGGATGCATGCATCGTGGATGATGTGGTCGCAGCCATCGAGGGCGGCCACGATGTTGAGATGGCTGGAATCGCTCTCAGCGGCCTCGGACGTGGACGCAGCGGCGGTGTCGACGGCCGCGTTGCTCTGCGTCGAGGACGAGGGGTGCGGCAGCGGATCCAAACATATGATGCACTGGTCAGGCTCAGACATGATGCCGATTGTGATGACAGACGCCAGTAACTGATGGACACATGTAAAAGACAACCGAGGTATATAAGTGCCTGATGGGGCAAAAGAGAACAAGACGAGTAGTTTTTAAAAAAAAAGAAGCTGTTTTTGTTGAAACAAACGTGCGAAAGGCGCTGTGGCGTGTGCTGCCAGAAAGAGAGCGAAGAAACTGGGTTTGGTATGAAGGCTAATATGATGTATTAGTGGTTGAGGTGCAATAAGGGCAGCGGTACCGCGCACGGTGGGAAAGGTACCTCTGGGGCTTACTTTTTTTTTCTTCGTGCAACGGAACCAGAGCAAGAGGCAGAGGATTGAAAGAGGGAGAGTTCAGCTGGAGACAGCCCAGAAAAGGCGGGCTGCTGGCGAGCTAGCGCAGGCCTGTTAGGGGTCTGGGCGGGGCCAATCAGCGAGTCGCAGTGCTGGAGGCGCCACGCCTGTTAATCACCTGTGCGAGTGCCTTTGGGTGGTGGCGGCAGATGGCAGAAGTCAGGGCGAGAATGAGGGGAATTCGTGGATGTCTGGCCTGTCTGGGGTGAGCCCGTCAGAGTTTGCTCAGAGGAGGTGGGTGGGTGGGTTAGCAGGTACCTCTGCAGCGGTTAAGTTGGGAACTGAGCGAGTATAGCTGCTTGTCGTAGGCAGGGAGGTGGAATGCCAAAGAGTGCAGGCACTTTTTATCTTTTGTGCTGCTCCAATGGCCCAATTGTCTCTTGTCGAATGTTCTGGGATAAGTTACATGTACTAAGCTACGGTGCTCTTTATACCGGAGCTGGAGGTGCGTGGACAACAAGGTACCGCCTCCAAGGTACCCCATTGCCCGTGACTCGGAGGACGTCAGACCTCGTATATTAATCTGTCAAGCGGTCGGGGAGCTAAATAATAACAATAATACGACCAACATGGAGAAACACCTGAATGGCTGGAGGCTGCCTGAGGCAAGTAGAGAAAGCCGCTGTATTGGAAAGGTGAATGAGAGCGGAAGAGCCCGTCATCGCCATCGCCAGTGAGAGACTTTCTGCATGCTGTAGAGAAAAAGGAAAATGCAGGTATATTTGCGGAGAGGTAACACGGTACCTCTACACCTGCATATGAGCACATTCAGAGCAGTCCCGGCTCCGGTGGATGCAAAGGTACAAATCTACAGAGCTCCGTATTACTGCTAACAAGGCGTTACCGCCTGCACATTCCTTCGCTCCTTTGCAGCTGCGGCAGCGCCCTGGTGGTCTACTGCTTGTAGTCATATAGAGCCTCGACAGTCATGCACACAAGCTGCATGCAAAGCAACAAGATGACTGAACACGAAACGATGACCGAGATACTAATGCCTGTAGGTCCAAGTGATGCTACCGAAGCACTAAAAGTCCCGTCATTACAAGGGCCCCCCTTGGCTCCAGCGGGAAATGGAAATGCACTGCGCGCGGGATATGCGTTCGCTGGCCTCACGTGCCGAGGCGTTGGGTGATGAAACATGAATCTGCAATTGGTCGACGAAGCCATGGCCGCACGCTGACCAGCATGTAGACTACATGTATTCGATGAGTGGTATTGTCATCAATGTTAGTGTTGAGCAAACAACTGTATGGATACGCCTGCCATCTTGACTCTACTCTGTAACTCGGCACTAGGTCCTGCTTCTCCGGACGTCGTTAAAAAAGAGGCATGGTGTCTCTACCTAGGATGCATCTCTTGATGGGAGAATTGCCCAGGTGGTACTAGTAGTTGGCCGGTGAGGTAGGGAGGGCATTGCTGCAACGGTAGCTCCTTGGATACGAAATAGGTAGAGATGCACGAGTGGACGGGATACGGTGTTTACATTGGGTCTGCTGAAGAAAGACAGCCAGCGTGGAGCGAAAGCAGAAGAAAACCATCGACTTCCGATAGCCGTGTGATTATTGAGGTTGTTGGGTCTTAGGTACCTGGGGAGCTGCCCCACAGTGGTGGTGCCTGTGACCGCGCCTATTTCTTGAGGAGTCAGATTCAGTTGCCAAGGGCAGAGGAATGAAAGAGCTGGTGCATGCTGAGAGTTTGCCGGGATGTAGATTGAGAGATGGATTTACTTTGGCCCTAGCTGTTCACGGCATACATACAGCATCGGTATCTTTGTACGGTAGCTTGAAGAGATCGCCTGGCCCTGCCTGCTACTAAAATACTGTAGCGCAAATCACATGGATCTTCACCAACCGAATGTAGTTTTTCACCCGAATCGTGAATATCCAGTATAACCATGATCTATGCAAGGCCATCTTCCCGCGATACCCACACATGTCGCCATCTACCCGTCATTGATCCCATGAGCCGAGTGCAGCGCATTTGATCACACAGAATGCCAGCCTTGGATGCTATATCAAAGACCCCACTTGCCCACTTTACGCCGTTTTGACGAGTTTTGCCTTTTAGCTGACAGACTGCAAGTCAACCAAGCCATGAGGATTTCTCAAATGCATGCTCATTTTTAACATTTTTTTTCAAAATTGGCCCGAGACGTCTCTCGCAGCTCGTTTAGCACCATCTCAGGTTTCAATGCGAATCCAGCTGCGATCGGGTGACATGTCAGTGGGACTTCGGTTACGAGCACTGCTACGCTGCGAGCTTTCGGACCCACCTCTTCAATTGAAGGCTACCGAGAAGATGCCCTTCTGATGCTGGTAGTGATTCTCACCACAGAACAAGTACCGTGGTGAGAACCCTTGTGACCTACGCCGGTGGATCAAGATGAGACGACATCGGTATGGACGTGCCTACAGAGGCTTCGGCTTTGCTAGTGTCGGCGGATGCTGCCGCTGTGCCGTTGTATGTGACGTGATGAGAAACCGTGTATGAGCATGTCGCGTACTGGCGTGTCTACAATGTTCCTCAGAGTGCGCTCTTTGGTTTGTAGATTCTTCTAGTCGGGTGAGCAGTGATTGGTAAGTATTCCGCTTCTCAATGCGCAGGAAAATTTTCATCAAAGAATGAAAAACTACCCTGACTCGTTCCTAGCTAAGCAGTCACCCATCGGGCACATCATTCTTTCACAAGTCGCTCGGGGCTCTGCGTGGCGTCATTAATCATTCGTTATTCGGTTGTCCGAGATAATGCAATTTTCTTTTTTTTGTTCATTGCCTATCGACCGGTGTTTATGACCAAAGATCGAGCGTCGACGTTTATTTTTCGTCAGCTCGTAGTGTATGCACGCAAACAATGTCCCCCATACACCAGACCGAAAAGCAAAGCCGAATCCTTCACCATTGTACCAAAGAAAACGCCTTAAACCTCAGCAATCTCCCTCAATCGTCGCAGAGTTGATCGCATAGCGGCGGCAGCGGGGGTGCTATGGGAAGGTTAGTATATACTTTCGAAAGGTAATTGGAATTCTTCGTAAGATCTCGTTGATCTCTGCGGTGTATAGACGTACGCAACAGTGTAAGCACCGCCAGCAATGGTTCGCTTGCAGGAGCGGCAGTTCCAGATACCGGTGGACTTTCTTCGGACGGTAACCTTACCGCAGAAAGTGCAGGTGTACTTGGCGTGCTGGGTGATTTCCATCTTCTTCACCTGCTTTCGCAGGGAGGCACCGTAACTATAGCCAGTTGCATTAGTTTCCAGTTCGTCTTAGGTTTGCATGTGGTCGGGAAAAGTTGTCGTCGAGCATTTCGCGAATGTCGTTGGAGGTTGCCATGGATAGAATCTCTACATCCAATATCTCTTCCCAAAGGACCATAGATGGTAGTCGTGCAGGATAATTGGTGACTGGTTTCGTCGAGGCTCGAGATCGATATATCGGGTTGGGGACAAGGCTGATGGGTATCTTTCAAAGACTCACCGAGTACCATATTTACCGCTGCAGACAAGCACGTTAGCAAAGATTCATTTGATCAGTCTGAAACATTGAAAAGAGTATACGTACGTCACGCCGACCTTCTTGGTGCGCTTGGTCATCTTGACGGATTTCTGTGAGGATGGCGAAGTTTGAGTGCTTGACTTCGGTTGCAAGCTTCGCTCACGAAAATGTGCTAGAAACCTGGAGTTGTGATTTTCCTTAGGGCACGCACGTGAGGGATGGCCAAGCGAAGTCCCACTGTTCTTTTTTTCCTCTCAAAGCGCACAATCGATAACGACTGGAGCATCACGTGACTATTACGCTGTTGCTTTTTCGCGTGTGTCCGTCCGTGGCCTTTTTGCGTGCTTGGATTGGGTGATAAATGCGGGTCAGCTAATTCTCTAGCCACGGGCCAAGACTCCATCGGTCAAGCCTCACGGGCCATCCGCAAGCGGTTGCGCCAGCTCAACAGAAATGGAGGCATCATTGATATGCATGTGTCGAGCCTCCCTGTTTTAGAGTAGCTTCTCCGAGAAAGAGAGACATTAGAAGAGGATATGAAATTGAACAAGCACCTTTTTTATCTGCATTGAAGAATCTACTTGATTTTTCTCCTTCCCGATTTGTACGTTGTGCAGAGTGACAACATCAAGCAAGCCAAGTGACGATATTCCGGGTCGCTTTCCATCATTTGCGATTCTAATTTTTTTTCTTCCCTTCTGCAGCATTTTAACCCCTCCCTCACCATGTCATTCAAAGAGCATAATCGTCTCTACGACCTGGTCGTCTTTGGAGCTACTGGTATATGAGCCTAGAATTGCGATGATATTTGAAGGGTAGCGATGGCTCACATACAACTTAGGGTATACCGGCCGTGTAGTAGCGGAGTACATTACGGCCAACTTCCCGATCAACACAAAATGGGCTGTTGCGGGTCGCTCCGGGTTGAAGCTTCAGGCAATCGTCGACAATTGCAAAACGGTGGATTCAGATAGAAGCCCACCAGGTCAGTTATGGCCACTGGAATCCTACCATCATGACATGTCACCATGAGACAGAAGCACTAACACAGACAAATAATAGAAATTGAAATCGTCAATGTGGATAACAATGAAGAGATGAGCGCGTTGGCGAAGAAGACGTTTGTCGTGATCACAACTGTCGGCCCTTACAGCCAATATGGAGAGCAAGCGGTGAAGGCATGCGTGGAGGCCGGCACGCACTATCTTGACGCAACTGGTGAAGCACCATGGGTCTATAAGATGATTAAGAAATATGAACATGCCGCCAAAGAGAGTGGCGCTATCCTAATCCCTCAGATGGGCCTGGAGTCCGCCCCTCCAGACCTCTGTACCTGGTCCTTGGCCAATAAACTCCGCAAAGAACTGAATGCCCAAACCAAAGACGTCGTCCTCTCGCTTCACGTTTTTCGGTAAGTTAAACTACATTTACCTGATGGTAGCGCAAAACACTGAAATCTTCCTTATTCAGAGCGGCACCATCTGGGGGCACCATCTCTACTGTTCTCAGTGTATTCGACAACCTTACTTTGAATGAATTGATGGAATCTGGAAAGCCTTTTGCTCATTCCCCTGTGCCTCACCCGGCTGAGCCAAAAAGGCGTCAGACTTCCATCTGGCAAAAGATTTTTGGTATCCACACTGTCCCTAACCTTGGAACTCTGACCACGGGCTTGACTGGCACTACCGACCAGGGAGTAATAGAACGCTCGTGGGGGCTTTTATCGGAAGTTCCCAGCCGGAAAGACCAATTTTACGGGCCAAACTTTCATTGGGAAGAATACAGCAAGCCTCGCAACTGGCTAGAAGGCATTTTGACTCATTGGCTGCTCACGGTTGCAGTTCTATTCCTAGCGATGGCGCCTATCAGAGCCGTGGCCAGAAAGTTTGCTCCAGAACCAGGCACGGGCCCTTCCAAAGAAGACATGGACAAAGAAGAGGTTGAGTGGCGCGGCATAGCAAATCCCGATACGGAGTTGCCTGCCAACAAGCAAGCCTTTGTTCGAGCTTGGTATCATGGCAGCATGTACAAGTGTAAGTGAAAATTATCAAAGAATCCCGGAGACTTGATGATGCCAAACTTCGGATCCTGACTATTAGTTATGCAGTAACGGCAATGCTTTGCAGCGAAGGCGCACGTATACTTTTGGAGGACGACCTCGACTTAGATGGGGGATTCTATACCCCGTGTTGCCTTGGGCAGCGCATCATCGATCGGGCTCATGAGGGGGGCCTGAAGATTGAGACGCGAATTCAACACAAATGAGTCTGAGCAGCTTACTGCACTATATGGTCATGTGCCTATACTTGGCTGAATCAATTTTGCCGACCTAGACTTTCGAGCGGTTGAAGTCTCTTCATGAAGATGCTCATAAACACCTAGTAAGTCGATATATAGCCGTGGTGAGTCCGAAGGTGGTATTCATGAGGAGCAGCCTGGTGACAGTGACATTGTGATCTTGAGACTTCCTAGGTAGGTACCTACATAGTTTATAGACTCACGTATTGTCTCATAAACGTATTACTACTTGCTATATACAAACTATCAATGTAACTCAGAGAAGCTACATTACATACGAAACTGAAATCACGGCTTGTATGTTTAAATAAAAAAACTACGGCTGTGTGAACAAGACTCCAACAACATAGGTACCTCTAGCCACTATCAATCCATGCCGGAACTCAAATCTTGCACCATAACACGTACTAGCAGTAAAGTATAATCACGTTGAGTGAATTAAAAGGTGTCAGTTTAGATAAGAAGTGTTTGCAGAGCAGTTCTTGATTTGTACTTGGTTAAGATATACCACTTCATACCTATTGAAAAAAGCGAGTTGGCGAGCAAGTCGAGATTATCCATGCACGAAACAGACGATGGTGTTTCCACGCTGCAGCTACTGATCCGGCTAAAGTGCCGTCTGCACCACGAAGCTCTAGTGGGGCCGAACATCCCCCCTAAGTGCCCCAATTCTAGAGGATGCGGCAGACAAAATTAGCGCTCCATAGTGGACAGTGGACCCAGACCGCTACCGAACGAATCTGGGCAGGAAAATTGGGCAGACTCCGTCATCGAGCAGGTAGGTTGGCTGGCAGCCCTCAAATCTTTCTGCCCACGCAAACCTCATCATAGCATCTACTGTGTGCTTGTTTGGCCAATCGCTCTCAATGCCGTCATCAGCCTTAGCACACGAGCGTTATTCACACTTATGAGCAGATCAACATATCCCATTCTCTTTTCACTTACGAAACGCGATACTCTGGACCGACTTCGTTAAGCCGCTGCGGCCCTTACTTTTGACCCAAGTCTCTCGCTATCTTCTTCTTGCTTTCGAAATGGAGTCTCCTGGTGACACCAACACAGACGCTGGCGAGACTACGCCTCTGCTCCCCGGCTCCGAAACTCCCCGACCAAAGCCCGTGCGAACAGTCACCTTCAGCGCCAACCCCGTCAGCCGAACCATCGAGCCAGAACCTCATCGCCTCCCAAGGAGCTTTGCTTCACACAATGTAAATCTGCAGGGCGGCAGCAGCATCGTCGCCGGCCCGCCAATGCTGGCAGCGTTGAATAGCAAACTACGCCGGCGAAATAGCCACGGACCCGTCCCTGCGATTGCTTCGGTACAGGGGCTGCCCAAGATTGGTCCGCAGAGAAGCACGAAGAAGACCGAAAAGCTCAAACTGCTACCGAATCCCGACTTTGGCGATGAGGGCGAAGATGAGGAAAGTGGAAGAGATGTCTATTCTCAGTATACGCGAATCAAGGATCCAACGGCGCGAAGAGATGCAGCGCGGCTTGGCAAGGCCGATCGAGACCGACTGCCACGTGTCACGGCGTACTGCACAGCCAATCGCTATGAGATGGACCAACTCATGAGATTCCTCAAAGGGCGAGGAAAGACTCGCGGCGCAAACCCGAAGCTTATTGACGAGTGTATATACACGCCGTACATGTACGGAAAAGGTCGACACAGCAATGACCTTGCCTCGCCAACTCTGGAAAGACGACACTCCACCGGAGGCGAGCTGGTAGACGGCGAGACTGGGCAGGAGGATTATAGGCCTAGGCATCACGATCAGGAGGATTCCGGCTACGGAGAAGCCTTGATGGTTGACGATCGCCGGGGGGGAGCGGGCGAGCTTCCCAGCGAAGAGCTGCTTGGTCCTACCATGCCAGAAGACTTGCCCATAAAGGATACGGTGCCTGACTTTGACATTCAGGTCCATACGCCAGAAATCTTCCTGTTTGACTACGGTGTCGTGGTAATATGGGGCATGACGGAGGTGCAAGAGGCTAAGCTTTTGAAGGACATTTCCAAGTTTGAACTCGAGAAGCTGGCCCCTGATGATGTTGAGACGGAGCATTTCAATTTCTACTACACGAGGGAATACCAAGCGCGAATCTACAATGATTTTATCACGCTGAGAGACAAGAACAACTACATGACCAAGCTCGCCATCTCTCACGCGTTGGCACAGAGCGTCAAGGTAAGACGAGTCTGTCAAAGACAATGGTATAACGAAAATGCGGAGAAACCGGTATGCTAATTGATTTCACAACAGACATCACTCTTCGAAGAACTCATCGCTTCCACCATTGATACCTGCAAAGATATTCCTACTCAGATTGCCCTGACTGGTAAAATAGCTCTGAACCGGAAACAAATCAACATGCAGATCGGAGAACTCTTCATCTTGAGAATCAACATTCATCTCAACGGATCCGTGCTGGATACCCCTGAGCTGTTCTGGGTAGAGCCCCAGCTAGAACCGGTCTATCAAGCAGTCCGGAGCTATCTTGAGATGGATCAACGAGTTGGTCTGGTGACGGAGCGGCTGGATGTAATTGCCGACTTGCTGGCTGTTCTTAAAGACCAATTGACCCACGGCCACGGCGAAATGCTCGAATGGATAGGTATGTCAGGGACTGACTACAGCCCCCTTCTTTTTTTTTTTTTTTGTTATGGAGTACAGTAACGCTGACTGGTTTTGTCTCTAGTAATCATCTTGATTGCCATGGAGATCTTGGTAGCTGCGATAAACATTGTCGTGGATCTATATGCTGGGGAAGCGTGATTGGGATGTTTATTGCCTTTTGTTGTCTTTAGTCCTTGGGTAGCAATGTATATGGAGCTCTGCGGGGAACTTTAATGTAATGCTTGGGATGGATATTTGCCTTTATGACTGCACGGAGTACAGCGGTTGGGTCAGACACAGATGGTGCGGCGTTGGTCTTCTGGGGAAAGCGAACTTGAGTATCGTTATATAATGCAAATAAGACAATTACTTGGGACTAATATTGTCCATCTGGATGTAGCTCATTCCGTTAGTCTTGACGAGTAAATGTTGTTGTCATGGTTCAAAATGAATTGGTGTTTTTAATAGGCCATTTAATATACATGCATCCAAAGTTCCAAATTACAGACACACCCCATTAATTACAGTGCCATTTAACGAAAGCGAAAAAAGGAAGAGCGAAAAAAAGGAAGAAAGAAAAACAGAAAAAGGCAAAAAAAGACAACCTCTTTATCTTGTACCAAAAACGCCCCTCAACGCATGTCTCCGGCCCCCTCATCCTGTAAGCCCGCGTAATTGCCTCGTATCTATTCGTTTACTCGTCGCCATCTTTGTCCTGAGTCTCCTGGTCCTCAGTATCGTAGTTGCTCATCTCTACATCTTCGTCGTGAGCCCGAGATTTCTCAGTCTCTGGTTCGGCCTTGATGTTCTTCTTGGGAGTATCGTTATCAACATCAGCATCAGCCTCGGCTTCGACATCTGCGTCGACATCTGCGTCAACATCTGCGTCGGCGTCGGCCTCTGCCTCTGCCTCTGCTTCAGCTTCTGCCTCTGCTTCAGCCTCCGCCTCTGCTTCGGCTTCGGCTTCCGCTTCCGCTTCCGCTTCAGCAGCGGCCTTGTCCTCCTCCTCCTCCTCCCGAGACTTCTTCAGTTCGTCGAATTTGGTTTGATATTCCTCCTTTTCGGCCTCTGGCAATTCCTCCCAGGCACGAGTAAGCTCCTCTTCGATATTCACATCGGCGTCATCCTTGTTCTTGGCCTCGAGTGCGGGCCGAGCTTCTTCGCAGTAGAGCTCAAAAGGATCTTTGTATTCCACAGAGGCCTTGGACACGCCATTGGCACGAGAACCCTTGGCCTGGCTATTGGACTCGGAAGTCGGGGACGCGGGCTCTTTTGTAGCTCCCTGCTTCGCGTCGGCATCTGCTGGTGCGTTGGATTTTCGGTGGCCTTTCTTAATGCGCAGCGGCTTATCCTTGGGCTTTCGGGGGTTAGCATTCGCCTCAACTGGGATATCGAATGTGGTTGCCTATTTAGTTGCACTCAAATATCAACACTGAAAAAAGGTGTTTGGCGGGGGGCGAAAGCCAAGTTTAAAAAGGGGAGGAGTCTCGGAAGCGCAGTGCTATTGGAGGAGATGGAAAAGGATAGGAAGAGACAAAAGTTGTAACCAGAAAAGTCATATGAGAAGGATACAAAGTGAATTTTGCTTGAGGAAACATACCGTGGGAGGCGGGCTGGGGCTGCCCTCGGAATCTTCGACGTTGGTGCTGGTGCGCTTGGCCAATTGTTCCAGCAGAAACGCCCGTTCTATCCTCAGCTTCTCGACCTGGCGCTTTATGCGAGCGAGTCGTAGTCTGGCCGCATCGTTGGCATCCTCGACCTCGTTTGTGCGATTCTTCAGCTGGAGACACTTGCGTCGGTAGGCTTCCTCAACGGATGGCGGCAGCGGAGAGGGCACGCTGGCTGGCTCAATGTTAGCCTCGGCGACCAATTTTCTTTTGGCGGGCATCGTGGCTGTGATTTTTTTTTTTCGGCGCGGGTCGTGACGTGAAGAGCGAAGAGTGCTGATGGACAATGGCGACGCCGAAGATGCGAGGATGCGAAGATGCAGCGAGGCGCGGGATGGGGCCGAGAAGAAGGCGATTGACGATGCTCTCGGAAGTTTCGCAGAAAACGCGGCGCAGCAGCCGATAGGGCGTGTGATGCGGCCGAGAAGGAAGAGATTGTACGTTGTTGAAGGGAGGAAGTAGAGCCAAGCAAGAAAAAAAAAGGGCTTAGAACTCACAAGGCTGGGGCGCCATGATGATAAGTCGAGGTACGTATAATCCAAGGTTAGAGTGCGATGCGCCGTGCGGATGGGCAAACGCTCCAATGTACAGTGTACCTCTGGCGTGGTCAGGACAGCCAGTCTGTGGAATGTACGCAGTACCGCGCAGCGGGCTGGAGGCGTGCCAAACAAGACAAGATAATTTGAGGATGCGCTCCACAAGGCGCGAACAACGCGTGCAAACGTAATGGGACGGTACGGCAGAGCGCCGCAATTGGGGCTTTTGCAGGTGGCGAGAGCGAAGCAAGAAGCAAAAGCAAACAAACAGCAAAGAAGGCAATAAGCAAGAGACAAAAAGAGAAAATAAACAGAGAAGCGATGAGGAACGAGCAATTCTATGAGTCGTGATGACTGCAGCAGCACATTAGATTATATACTTCTAAGGATGTCTTCTAGCGACGGACGTTCATGTAAGAAGAAGAAGGAAGAGCTGTATCGAGTAAGACGATTGCGCCGGCATGGTACTTTGAGCAAACGGGTGACCTTTTGGGGGCGGTGCGAGGCTGCAGCTGGACTGGACAGGCAATGGACAGGCAATGGAAGCTAAGCTGAGGCAGGGCTTCAGCGCATCAGCAGCAGGCCTTCAAGTGTTAATCAGCATGGGTCTTGGCAACATCAACTTTTATCCAGTTTGACATGGAATATACGCGTGGGAACATCAAGCTGTATAGTGTGGTCTGTTTTTCCCCAAGTCAACTATTCAACGCCTAAATAAGCTGTTAGCAACCAACTCAGCAACCTGCTATCTGTACTTACTAACCTGGGCACCAGCTACCACAGTGTCTGTAATCAGCTTTTCAAGGTTGATTACGACTGTAGCGGTCACTAAGAGTAACTCGTCCAACAATGTCACATCCAAGTCCTATCAAAGCTGTCTCTATATCCATATTTGCACACATTCTATCAATAAGATAAAAGCTCTAGCATTCCTTCTTCCGCCTTCCATCTGAGCCGGCAGCAATTTATCCAAGCATCCAGCTAGGGACTCCATATAAACCCCCCCTATTCGACTCGCATGGAGGGGCAGCGCAGCGGAACAACAACCTTTCCTAAGCGGCCATGATTGGCTAAGCACCACAAAAACTGCCCCCCAGGCTACCAGCAAACTACCCCCAAGATTTTCCCAAGGAGCTGTCCAAAGGGAACATCGCCAACTCCCCATAACTTGCGTGACTGGGCGGGTGCACGAAACAACTCTGGCAAAATCCTCTGATTCGGCCACATTTTGCCCATCATGTCTCTCAACATCCCCAACGCGCCCAACGCGGGCCTCTTCAAGCAGGGCTACAACAAGTAAGTGCCAACCCCGCCATCGCCATCGCCATCACCATCACCGTCCGTTGAAGCCTGATGAAAGTCGGGACTCTGGCTGACAAGACAATCCGCGTGCCCTGTAGCTACGACTCAGAAGATGGCGCCGTTCTCCGGAATATCGATGCCTGCCGAACCATTGCCTCGACCGTCCAGACGTCGCTGGGCCCCTACGGCCGCAACAAGATCGTCATCAACCACCTGCAGAAGATGATCCTCACCTCCGACGCCGCCACCATCCTCCGCGAGCTCGACGTCGTGCACCCCGCCGCCAAGCTCCTCGTCATGGCTTCTCAGCAGCAGGAGGCCGAGATGGGCGATGCCACCAACCTGGTCATTGTGCTGGCCGGCGAGCTGCTGAAGAAGGCAGAGGATCTGCTACGCATGGGTCTCAAGACCTCCGACATTGTCATCGGCTACGAGAAGGCCCAGAAGATTGCCTTGGAGGCTCTGAATGAGCTTTCAGTGGACAAGATAGAGAACATCCAAGACCACGCTGAGCTGAGCAAGGCTCTGCGGACTGTCATTGCCAGCAAGCAAAGCGGAAACGAAGACTTCCTATCAGGCCTGGTAGCCGAGGCTGTGTTGGCCGTCCTACCCAAGAACCCCGCCAACTTCAACGTCGACAACATCCGAGTCGTCAAGATTATGGGTGGCAGCTTGGATCAGAGCAGGGTCGTCAAGGGCATGGTCTTCCCCAAGGAGCCCGATGGGTCGGTCAAGAAGGCCAGCCGGGCCAAGGTCGGCGTCTTCACCTGCCCCATTGACACAAGCCAGACAGAGACCAAGGGCACCGTGCTGTTACACAACGCAAAGGAGATGATGGACTTCACCAAGGGCGAGGAGGCACAGCTGGAAACCGCAATCAAGGAGCTTCACGACTCCGGCCTGCGAGTCGTCGTGTGCGGCGACCGAGTCGGCGACCTGGCCATGCACTACCTGAACCGCTACGGAATTCTCTGCATCCGAATCCTCAGCAAGTTTGAGCTGCGACGAGTCTGCCGTGTCGTCGGCGCCACACCCCTTGCTCGGCTGGGCGCGCCCATGCCCGACGAGATGGGCAGCATCGATGTTGTCGAGACGATCGAGATTGGTGGTGACCGCGTTACAGTATTTAGACAAGAAGACGAAGTCACCCGCACTGCTACCATAGTCCTCCGTGGCGCTACCCAGAACCACCTTGACGACATTGAGCGAGCTGTCGACGATGGTGTCAACGTTGTCAAGGCCATCAGCAAGGACAACAGACTGGTTCCCGGAGCGGGAGCCACGGAGATTCAGCTGAGCGCAAGGATACAGGCACAAGGCGAGAAGACACCAGGTCTGAGCCAGTATGCCATCAAGAAGTATGGTGAGGCCTTTGAGGTCATTCCCCGCACCCTGGCCGAGAGCTGTGGTCTTGATGCTACGGAGGTTCTCAGCACGCTGTACGCTGCCCACCACAAGAGCGAGAGCGGCGATGCTGGTGTCGATGTGGATAACGAAGAGGGCAACGGAGTGCTCAACGCCACCAAGCAGGGCATTGTCGACCTGTTAGCCTCCAAGGACTGGGCCATCAGACTCGCTACTGAGGCTGCCCGCACCGTCCTGTCAGTCGACCAGATTATCGTGGCGAGACAGGCTGGCGGACCAAAGCCTCCTGGCCCCAACCCTGTAAGTTTTTGACCTCCCTTCCATGATACTTTGAGTCCCTTGAAAAGCTACAACAATACTAACACCTCTTACAGAACTGGGATGAGGACTAAAGGAGTTGGAGTTTGTCAAAGGGTATAAAATGAAAGGTGGCGGAGGGGCATATAAAAGCATAGATAATCCCGGATCATTTTGAGGCAGGCTATGTGTAATATGATACAATGGACAACAAGAAACAAAAATAGAAATTAATCTGATCTCGGCGAGGCACTGCCGGCGTGAAGGAGAATCTCAGCAACGCTAGCCATAATGCGCAGACTTGTCGTGTCCATCTGGTGGCTGATAAGTTCACTTGATATCAGTGTTGCTCAAACCTTGCGTGTAACTCCGCCGTGATGCGGACAATGTTTGCAGGCAGTTATGGATCTGGCGTCTAGACTAAAGCCAAAAACCCGCGCGGATACGCGGAATTAACCAGGCCTCTATAACAAAAAACCACCAATCAGAGCACACAGCGCCGCACTGATTCAACGCCCCCCTGGCAGTTGTTAGCCAAGGAGGATTTCCATTTCCTACAGCTGTCTTTCGCCTCGTCTCTTTTTTTTTTGGCATTCATCCCGCGCGCTTCTGAACGTTTGTTTTGAAAAGTGGGCACTTTTTTGCTCGAGCGAATCAGAAGCAACAACGCCAGGATCCTTTTTTCCCCCTTCTCTTTCCATACCTGCTCTTTTAGCTTAGACGACAGTTCAGTCTGGTTTTGAATCCTTTCTTTTTTTTGCGTTTCCTTTTTATTTTTATTCAAATGTAAATATTTACATTTGAGCATGATTCGTATTGCGTATTTCCTATCTCGGCCTGGCTTGCAAATCTTCCAGCGAAGCGCTCTCATCCACAAAATTAAGGAGCCGCATCCAGCTTGCGGAGTTTTGTTTTTTTCACAAACGACCAAAGATGATGGCTTTATCTGTAGAAAATGACGGAATTATGGTTTGAATAGCCAAAGATTTGACAAGATCCATGGAAATGCGTGTCCATGGGCAAAGAAAAAACTTGTACATCATCAAAGACGATCCATGTAAATGCATTTGCCGTCATGTTGTATAAGTGACAGCCCCCCTATTCGCACATGTATATATCACAACTGCCCATCCCCTCAGAACCAAAAAGAACAAATAGCACAATACCAATCAAAAACAATCTCATCTCTAATAAAAAAATAAAAACAACAACAACAAATCCTTCAAAAATGGCCTCCAAAATCGCCATCATCATCACCAGCACCCGCACCCCCCGCGTCGGCCCTCACGTCGCCACCCTCGTCCACAACATCCTCAAAGCCTCCCCCTCCGCCGCCTCATCAACCTTCTCCATCGTCGACGTCGACACCTTCAAGCTGCCCGTCTTTGACGAGCCCGTCGTGCCCGCAAACGTCCCCGCGCGGGGCTCCTTTGTCCACGACCACTCCAAGAAGTGGTCCGCCGAGATCGCCTCCCACGACGCCTACGTCCTCATCGCCCCCGAGTACAACTACGGCGTCGCGGGCAGCACAAAGAACGCCATCGACTACCTCAAGAACGAGTGGGACGGCAAGCCCGCCGCCATTGTCACCTACGGCATCCAGGGCGGCAAGATGGCCTCTGAGCAGATCAAACAGTCGCTTGAGGGCATGGGCCTTCGCGTCTCGGCCACCAGGCCTCAACTTGCCTTTGCTGGAGGCCTTGGCCCCGATACCTTTGGCGCTGTGGGCGAGGGAAAGCTGGGAGACGCTTCCAATAAGGAGTGGGAAGAGAAGCACAGCGAGGAGATTGTCCAGTCTTACAAGGAGATTCTGGATGCCCTTGCCAACCCGGTCGAGAAGAAGGAGTAAAAGCCTAGATTTGCTTCGCATGTATATACCTTTAGAATAAAACGGCTAGAATTATCCTTGCAGGATATCAGAATTGATTGATACCTCTTCTTCACTTACAGACGTCTGATAAAGAGAGGGGGGGGGGGGGGGGGGGGGGGTGGTGAAGAAGAGAGAAAGCGAACTGTTTACCCCTTTCCCGCCTACTCGTTCGTCCTCCCCGTTTAAAGCATTCTTTGACAAGTAGAGCAGCTATGAAATACAGTCAGTCATCCAAATAGATAAAGAAGCACATCAAGTTCGACAAAAACAAATGAATAGTCAATCTAGTTTGATTGCAAAACGAATTGATCAGATATACGTTCGGCGTGCAAACGCTCAAAATATCTAAATTCTGTAAATAGGATCCATCCTCCATCCATCCCGGTGTTCTCTCGTGATACCATGCAAATAGAAAAAAGATATTTTATACATAAGGCGTGTTTGTAATGCACAACTTGCTATCCGCCAAGTGTTCCCGAAGACTTTATACCCTCCCCCATTATTCCATCCAAATCGTTCCAAATAAGAGAAGAAAAAAGAAGAAGAAAGATAATAAAACACACAAATCTAAATCCACTTGCTTCATATGATAAGCAATGCACACAATTCTTTTTTCTCCCCCAAAGAACATCACTCAGTGTGATGACTGGCAAATCATAAGCGCCATCATCTGGCATGGCAAAGCTGAGCTGAGACAAGGGAATAAAAGGAGGGCAGAGAAAAGGGGAAATGTAGATAAAAAAAAAAAAAAAATAGCAAAGAACAAGCACGAAATCAGCATCTCTCGTTACGAAAAGCAGAGAGAGAGAGAGAGAGAGAGAGAGAGAGAGAGAGAGAGAGAGAGAGAGAGAGAGAGCATGTCTTGAGAGGGTATACTTTTGCGGAGATGAATTGGAGCGTCATAGATTCCCAGTCCTTCATGGTGATACCACCAAGTAAGTCGATAAATACGATATCTTGTGCAAGGAAATGTCATGAACACATCGAAATTTTCAAAGGGAAACTCCGAATGAGACTTCAGGGAGCAAAAAAGAATCCATGAGGTCGTCGTAGAGCTTATGAAAGGAGAAACAAAGGCAGGAAAAAAAAATGTACCCCAAACGCCATGGCCATGCTGATAAACGAAACGTACGAGATTGCCATTCGTTTATGACCAGAGATAGTTGATTGAATCATGCTTCTTCTGTGATTCCGCCCTCGCCGCCTCCCTCTTCCCGCCATTCTCGGCTGCGCTCTGCAAGGCGCTTGATACCGCTGATACGGCCCGCCCACAGACTCTCGATAGGGCTGCGGTTGGTAAAAGCGCGCTGTGAGCTTATGACGCCAATAGCTTGAAGGACTGCTTTGCGGCTATCGCGACCGAATACAGCAGGATGGTTGATCCATTCCAGGCTGCTCTCCAGCTCAGCATCAAGGGCACTGACTGTTGTCGCATCGATGCCAACGCCAAGTGCCAGTCCGTCTGCGGATCGAGACCGTCCAAGCTGGGGAGGAGGGCCAAGCTGTGTAGCGGTCATTCCATTCCCAGAGGATGACGTTGCCGAAGTTGGCGATGGGCTGCGTTTCCGATCTGGCGTTCCGGATGCCGGCGACCCATCGAGGCCCGGGTGCGGTGTCGAGGGTAGCGATTTGCTTGGAGGCGGCACAGGAGGCAGGCCACCCTTGCCAAGGCCCTTGAGGATGGAGCGGGTCTCGTTCAAGAGCGTATGGGCACGGTCGTGTTGGCCTCGGCTGACGAGCGTCAGTGCACGCGTGAGCATGTCTGAGGTGAGCAATTCCATTCGCCTCTGAACCACGCTGGGGTGGGGAGGAATGGGTGGCGCATTCTGCCATCGGCTCTTCTGGCTATGGGTCGGTGGCAGCATAGTGATGGCCAACAGAGACGGTCGGGGCATTGGAGCAGTGGTGCCGTCTCTCAAGATATCGCCCCAGGTGAGATCAGCTTGGATAAGTGGAACTTCTTCCACCGAAAGAGTCCTCTCAGTATCGCTATCCATTGGACCGCCCAGGGCCTCCAACCCTGAGACGATGTTGTCCCAAGGATCTGGAGGAAGCTGCTCCTGAGAAGACGTATCGGGGAGGATGACGAGCTGCACCAAAATATCGCGCTTATCGCCGAACCGAAGGTCGCCAAGGGATGCCTCAGCATCCCGCCCCGTTGCTCGCTTGGTGATTTGCAGAGCGCCACTGATCTTGTGAAATTTGGCTGGTGACCCCTCTGGGAGCTTGAGCTTGAGCTTGACATTCTGGTGGGACAGGGTCTGCATGCTACCCAAACAACCAGCCAAGCACTCTCGCAGCATCATCCAGTCCTTAACATAGGTATAAGATGCTTTAGTCCTAGTCGAGAGCTCGATCATGGTGTCAGGCTTGTGGGTCATGCCCAAGCCAAAAGAATGAATGGTGATCCTATAAAGTTTTTCTGGTCAGGATAGTCTGCTTTGATAATAGGGGTTATGAATCAACTTACTTTGCGGCTTCTGCTCTGGAAACGACAAAGTCGACAGAATCAGCGTCAGAGGTCGACGCATCGCTGATGAGCAGAATAGTGGCAATCGGGTTGTTGTGTTTGCGCTGCATTAGAAGATCCATGGCGACATTAGCGCCCTCAACCACGTCGGCGCGGTGACTCTTCTGCCCAACGGGCTTGATCGCGGACAACACATTGGACCAGCCATGCCATGCTTTGGTGGTCATGCCGACAAGAGGCACGCCGCCACCGCCAGAGCCAAATGTAACAAGGCCCATACGGTCCCTTTCGCCGAGTGTGCTTACCATGAATCTGAGAGCGTCACGGACGAGGTTGATCTTAACACCTTGCATCGACGAAGAAATAGGGACAACTACAACAACATCGATCGGGACGTGAACAGTGCTGGGAAGGCGAGCAGCCTTGGTCGGTACGTTGGTATACTCTGTTTGAGCTGTCGTGACGGACTTGTGGCCCCACGAAGAGGCGATGGAGGAAACACGCTGCTGGCCGGCCCGGCCCCAGTCTCCGTCCTCATCCGTTTCAGACATCTCGCCGCGGTCCACATCAGGACTTCGAAGGGAAGGAGGGAAATCGACGGCGTGCAAGTCCAGCAAAGCTTGGTTCCACAATTTGAGTTGGTTTCGGTTGTCAAATCTAAGATGGAACTGGGGCAGTTCGGCCACGGATAGATTCAAAGTTAGAATATTCTCATCGATGGCTCCAGTCTCCGTCACATCGTTGAGGTGTTTCTTGATCAAGATGGATCCCTTTAGTGTGCAGCGGGTTGCTGGCTTTCGTTGAGCACCATGGTCGTCCCACTGGGGAGGGAGCTTCTTTTCCTTGACGCAAATGAGCATCTCAGAGAAGAGGTAGCATTCCAATTCTTGCCAGGACACCTTGTCTTTGCCTACTCGTAGCGTGCCGCAGAGCCTCAATTGTCCGAATCGGTCGAACTCTAGGCCATGCCAGTTATCAACACGGTTGCGTAGATTCTCCGTCATTTCCTCCAAAACATCGGCGGACTCATAAGGATAGAAGCGTGTGGTGTTTGGTGTCGGTGTCGGAGAGGGCGACACAGCGCGAGGAGGAGCAGTTTCGGTAATACCCGAGTTGACACCCACTTGCGATTGCACCGGGGAGCCAATATCCTCAGGGTCTGGCCGCCAATTGTTGTCCGGAACTTCAACCGTAACAAGGCACGTGAGCGTCTGCTGTTGGCGAGATCTGTTGATGGTGGGAAATTCGGAGCGAATGGTAACAACCGGGGGCGGAATAGGATTTCTCGTTGCTGGGCGGGGGCTGCTGGGCGTCGTTTCCATTGTCTGGACATCATATTCGTGGCGCCATTGAGAGCCGCTCTGGGCTGTTTCTGGGTAGCCATTGGATGAAGCCATACCAGTGCTGTCGTTGCGAGTATGCCTTGTAGACCCATGGCGATCCGAGGCGGCGTCTCTACCATCGCGATGACTTCCCTTTCCAATACTCGAGCTGGAGACTATCGGCCGCCTCTGGGCGCTATCAACACTGGGCGGTCTCGCTGCCGGGTTGTCCCAGGTTGGCGCCGGAGTGACAGTCTCAGCCCTTGGCTCAGTGCCGGCAGTACGAACCATGTTGCTGATTTTGTCTACATTTGAATTAGCGGCATGATTCTGCGATTCTGTGCGTCTAGATGACGAACTGATGTCCAGGACATTGCCGCCTCGGCTGGAGTCAAGATGCAGCGGAGCATCACAGGCTGGGCAATATTGTGCCTCCATTTCACGGATGAACTCGTAGAAGCAGGCTTCGTGGGAGACGTGGGAGCAAGAGAATTGCAGGATACGCTCGCCACGCAGCGTGTGCTCCAGTGGCTCCTCGCAAACCGCACATTCGCTTCCAACGAATGTCCTATCCCGCCGCATACGGCTTCGGTCCGCGTTGCTAGACATGACGTTGTTGTCGATGCCCCCTACTCTTCTAGATGTAGCGGTGCTGGTGGTGGCGTTGCTTGCAGACCGCCCTCGTTGGAGAGAGACGGTGCTGCGTGTTGCTGAAGAATTGTTGAAAGATTGGCCTGGATGGGGTTTTACAGTTAGTGACTTTTTTTCCCCAATATATGATATGGCATAAGCAGCCATCGTCAAGTGGAGGCAAGGGGAGAGACAAAGAGGGGGGCCAAGGGGACGAATCGCGGCGCATATACTATGTAAGGGGGCGGCGTATATGAAGCCGGCGTGAGAGATGAGAAGCGTACCCTCAAGATGGAACGGAGCATCCGTCGTTGCACTGCTCCCAGGCCTAAACCGAGAGCTGACCGATCTTGTTGACCGCGGACTGGCGATGATGCCCAGGTCTCCCAGCGCGTGTGACAGGTCTGAGTTCTTCCTCCGCAGACCGTCGAAGGGCTGGTTCTTGTGTTTTCGGCTGAACATTGGAGAGCCACTGGGGTGGGTCACCGACTAGAATCAATAATCGAAGTCTAAGAGCTGCGCTTGTCTGCTTTTGCCCGACTGCTCTTGCGTGTTTCAGCAAGTGCCTCTTTAATCTTAATCGGTGCGTAGAGAATGTGGCAAGTTACTGAGCATTTGACTAGTGGGCTTTTTGGATCGACGTAAGGTTGGGCGTGGCGTTTCAAGAGCGCCGCGGCGAAAGGCAAAATGTAAGAGAAGACGAGAAATCCTGAAGGAACGACAAACACCGGAGGTGGGGAAGAGACGAGCGTGTATGCCGAGCAGGCGCGGCAGACGCAACGCAGGATGAGGAAACGAGGAAAACAAAACGAGAGGCGCTCCGTCAGGTAAAGAGTAAAGTAGTAAAGTCGTAGTCGTAGTCGCAGTCGCAGTAGCAGTAGCAGTAGCAGCACTACTAGCAGCAGTGATGGGACGTGGGATTGGAAAAGGAAAAAAGCAGATGCGCTTCTAGCTCCTGGTTCGACAATGGCTGGCTGTTAGACTGGAGAGAGCGGGGACCGCGCGCGCATGATGCTTGATGGCTGCAAGCCACCCAGACGATAGTGGTGCCTAGATCGGGACGCTGGCGATTATAGCACGGGGTGAGACGAGGCAGAGCTCGAGCTACCGGTCTCTGGAGGCAGCGCCGCTGACGGGCTGAAGGAATGGACGAGCGCGGCGGGAAAAAGAAGGAGAGAAAAGAGTGAGGGTTGCGGTGAGGAGGGAGCCAGGTCGCAGAAGAGAAAGAAGGAAAAGTGAAGAAGATCCGAGGAAAAAGAGATTGAGGCCTGCCCTGGAAAACGGTACTTTGCAGCTACATATCTGGCGAGCCATCAGGTACCAGGGAAAAGGGGGGCTTGACAATTTGCCTTCTAGCGTTCCTAGCCTGGGTACCCAGTTATCCGCTGCACTGGCTGCAGCTGATGCTGGTTCCTGCGTTACAGACCTGGTCACAATGGCCTACCACGACTATGCCAAAGCTACCTGCTGTACAGTACACGCATGCAGGGAGAACTTGCACGGATGACCTACTGCGCTTGGTGCAGTGTGATATCAGCGGCCAAGTGGTGATGCTGAGCTGCAGCTGCACTCCCAGCCCAGCGGCTCGTCCAGAAACGGCCATGGCCCAGGAACCTTGGTAGCGTTGATGGCCTGCACAAGTAGCCGCCAGGTACCGCCGTATTCTGTTGGTTGACCGTCGACAATTGACAATGACGGAGTTTTATTGGCAGCATGCACCCGCCCGCTTCACCACCAACATGCATCTAATCGGACACATATACGAATGCCCTTCGCCTCTTTCTCTCTTCTCTTCTTTTCTTTTTTTTAATCTCTTATTTCTTCAATGCCAGCCCGTGCTGAGAGGGCCCCATAGACCCTTTCAGTGGTAGTAGGTAGCACATACCTGCATGCTACTACTATTGCAGAGCCCGGGTTGCTGCAGATCCCGGGCCTGCACGGTCCGAGCGAGATTAAACGTACCTGTAGGTACTTGTGCCTCCACACGACAGCAACGGGGGAGAAAACTGTCAGATGCCGTATCGTGCAAGGTGACTGTGGAATCGTGGCCGATAGCCAGAGCAGGAATAGGTCCAAGCATAGAGCACAGGCATCCGATTCCGCACTGCAAGCACTCAGGTGGGCACGAGCACAGACTAGTAAAGGCACAGACATGCTAACAATATCGTCACGCAGTCGCCGAATCGCAAAGGCCGCCGATTGGGATGGATGGATGGACGGATGGACGGATGGATGGCCTGAATGGCCAGAATGGCCTGATTGCCGGCTTTGCATGACGGAGACTAGCCGATGCGACGACGACGAATGCAAAAGACCTAGCATCCCATCCTTGGACTCTGACCAAGACTCTGACCCAGACGTCGCATGGCCATGCTGCTCGCCTTGGCCGCCGGGTGCCTGGCTTGTCCTCCGCCGCTGGAAATCCCTACCTGAACATTCATGCGAGCCCCTGTCATCGTATCCCGAACCGGACATGGTCTGCATGGTGGTGGGGAGAGCGCCGTTTGTTCCAATTCCATCTACAAGTAAAATGCACATTTAATCAGGGCATGCCCGGCTTGACGCTAATCTTCTGCTGGTGCTAGTCTCTTCGTCCGCCATCAACGCTAATTTCATGCACGTCTGGTGTTAATCATTTCCAAGTATACTTGCCCTGTGCCGCCGTGCAGCACTTGGCCTCGCCCATCATTAAAGCTTTAATTTCCAGACGCCTAATTGGAATAGCAACGACCAGATACAGGATGAACATAGGATCCGTGCGTTGGGTATGCTCACTTACAAGGCTTGACCTACTCGGACTTTCAAAACAGAGTTCAAGAGGCGCCAAAACCCAAGGTGACTTGAATACCTACTACTACCACGTACGTCCCAGGCACTTTGTCTAAACATGCACGAGTATGGAGTAGGTTCCTCGTTGCAACGTGCGCCATTATGGGGGCTCTGATAATGCTGCGCAAAATCAACTACTGTAAGTGAATTGGTACCCATCCTGGTCGGTGGGCTCCGTAGTCACTTTCCGTAAGACGATGGAGGAAGAGCATTATGATGCAAGCACCAATAGAATGCCGCCGGAAGAGTCCCAGGCAAGTTTGTTTGGAAGCGTTCGTTGGATGCACCTCACAGAGCCCCGGGCCGCCTTGTGCCGCGTAAAGGAAAGCATCTCAGCCGTATGACCATGTGCCGCACTGTCCAAGGTCTATGCTCTCTGTCTACCAAATATTCTTCGCGTATGGCGAGACCACAATGGCTGAAGAAATGATCCTACGCTTACCTACTTGTCGTCTGCATGGGCTCGCCCGAAGCCTCACGGAATGGCTTCCGGCATGTGAATTAGTGCTGGTAGCTTCAAACTTGCGTCTCAAGCCAACCATCTTAGCCTCGCGTGGCGAACGGTGGATATGGCCAGTCTTGTCGGCCTATGAGAGCACAAAGAGAAGCGGGCAACTCGTCTTTGCTCATAAAATAGCCCTGGAGACAACCGCCTTTCCAGATTCTGTATTCACCGTTGCGGAGCAGCCACAGAGACGGCCCGCGGTGCGAACCCTCTGCCATGATCCTCCAGCTGCCAATTGACCTGGAGGTGGCAATAAACGGGAGCTTACCTTTCAGGTGAACAGCATTCTACCCTGATAGTCTCACTTCTGTACCACAGAGCACTGGCGTAGTTGCTTGTTAATAGTATCGCCAAGCGCAGACACACAGACGCGCGGGAGCACACAAGCGACCAGCCATTCGCTTTTAGCCAGAAAACGGGATACATGTTGTTTACCCCAATCCTTCCGATCCCAGCCTTCGGGCAAACTCCTGCTTGTGGTGCTAGTTACTCACATACAGTACAGGTAAGATCGAGCCAGTGGGATCCAGAGATTTGGTGCTGTGGCTTCCCAGATGCTACGATACCTTGGAAAGGGCTAGTGTATTTTGGTCCCAGTTCTTAGCGCAGTGCTAGCCCTAGTACCTAAACACAAACTTGCCCACTTTCGTGCGCACAACTTCTGCGGAGTCATGATCCTTGCTCTCCCAACTCCCAAATGGCATCGGGACTCTGCTACTACTTGTACTACGAATCATACCCAGGTTCGCCTATTCTAGGGTAGCAGCGCTTGCGAAGCGACAGACGACTTGCATGTTCTAGACTACATCGCCGCGCTCTTGGACAAGAAGCATACGTCGAAAGGCAGCGCTAGGCGCGCTTATAAAGCTCCCCAGCAGCCGGAGTTTAGGCAGCGATATACATCTATATACAGGGACGTGTTACCAGGCCACCATCGTAGAGTAATAGTCTTCTAAAAAGGCGGGCCCTGTGGTGTTCTTGCCCCTAAACACTAACTCTGGCTGTTTTATATAAAAATAGCTATAAATAAGGGAATCAAATTTCTATAAGAACAACTTAAGACTAGACTTTTATTTAAATATTAAATTTAAAGCTATAAGTACTATATATTTTTTTATAGTTAAGGTATACTTATAAGGTATTAGAGCTGTTATTTTTTCTATGTAAAACACTAATCAAATGCGATATGGGTTATTGAACTGGGGTTGTGGGCCTACTACGCTAAAGGGCCTGTTTATTTGGAAGACTACCCTACGATGGTGGCCTGGTAATACGTCCCTATATACAGTATGCCTCCAACGCAAATCTGCACGTCGGACCCAAGCGGCGATAATTCTACCGTGACATCGGCTTCAACGCCTCCAACGGCCGACGGCATATCGGTCCGGTGGGCTCTCTTGACTGCCGTGGGCAGGATGTATACTGGGTATCACGGCGAAGAGACACTAGATTGTCTATCAAACTTGATATCCCCCACTTCATCTCATGGCAGTAGAGTGATGTGTCATTAATCCCGAGCATGACTCGCCGTGACAGAAACCAATCATTCTTTCAGCAAGCGGATGAGCGCTATCTTCGCAGCTCTTTTACTAGTCCCCCCCCCCCCCCCCCCTAATTCGAACACGGCCAGCGGGGGAAGAAGAGTAAAACAGGCACGGACTGATCCGTCTGGCCGACTTCAAGAATCTCCAACTGGCTTCAAGTAACGCCACACCCGTTTGGCGTCCCGCCCGGCTCCAATGTCTTCAAGCCACCAGACTCTACAACTGTCCACAAGCTGAGGTAGACTGAAAGGAGTTGGGTGCCTGAAGAGCTAAAGTCAAAGGGATGCCTTTGATCTACTGCTCTCGATTAGACGTATACAAATATGGCGTCGATTGACTACCACCCAATAGTTCAAGTATTCTTGCAGACAGCTAGCCATCTACGGGCAAAAAGAAGGCCCCTTTGCTTCAGGTTGCTCAATCGACAGCCACTACTATCGAAACGGGAACGTGCTAAAAAGCTCTCTATCTGCAAGTGGAAGATTCTCAGGCAAGATCGCCTGGGCTAACAGTATCTTTCAAGCTGTTCCGTCGCTTGTACTACCCAGATGTGGCGCCAGCTAACCTAGGAGAGGTTACAGCATTATTGCTTGATGTAGTACTCCGTATATGCTGAGAATGGGCTATGCTGCGATGACACCTATGGCGGAAGTTTCCGACTATTCAGGTCAACTTATCTTCAGACGAGAGCGTCGACTGCCGCCAAGGTACCGCAAACGACCAGAAAGTACACTTGTTGCCGCCAAGAGCGCCAATATGAGAATGCTCTGTCCAGCTGCTGTGAATGTGCAAGTAGGATAATGGCCGACCTTCTTCGATTGGCCTAAAGTCTCAAGCATGGCCTAACTCGAGTTGGGATGATCCTCGTACGTACCCTACTGGTATCCTAGGCTGATGGTTCCTGGCCATACATTTACGGCGGGGTATACCATGCTTTACTTGCAAAACATGCCGGACAGTAACAAATGCTCCTATTGGACGAGCATTGGCGTTCCAAAGTTGGGAGTAAGCCACCGATAGTAACGAAAATTCATTCTCCTACGATATACATGGTAACATACACAGCCTAGCTGATATATGATGAATGAAAAGGATTCGCAGAAGTCAGTGCTATGCTGAGTTCTCGAACGGTCTGAAAATGCGCGTTGGCTTTGCATTGCACAAGGATCCTAGGCCTGGCATGTGATGAAGTAAATCTCTTGGATGCTGAGAAGGAGCAATTAGGCTTACTGGATTGGCCCCCGTGACGGGATGACAATCCTTCCGGGTCTCTTCCGTAGGCTTTGTCGCTATTTTGACCCCTTTAGGGAACATTGTATTATCAGACGCACTGGATGAGAGTATGGGACTACATTTGTGGATACGAAATAGTAGACAGTAAGCCATCACCAGAAGTGAAGTCATCGCGTTTCACACTCTAGGAGAAATGTTTCTTTCACGTTTCGGTATCATGCGTAGTACTTGCAAACCCACGCTTTTGAGGCACCTGTTTCCCTGCTATCCAGGTATTAAGCGGAAAGAATGGGATGTGACGTTTGAGCGTAAAAAGCAATTAGAAAGTGCTTCAACTACTTCGCACCATTAGACACCCACGTATCACATGGGTGTTGTTTGTGTATGAATCTAGCGGTGTACTTTTATCACGCATTGAATAGCACACACGGTGTGCATGTTACATCACAAGCGTCTGCTGTGCGACTTTTGGAAAGGATCTGTGACTGCAACCCTTGCTTGGGGAGATGAAAAAAAAAGAAAGAAAGAAAGAAAGACAAAAAAGTGAGAAGGATTTAGGAAATGATGTGATGTGACGTGACGTTTCCAATTTTTCTGTTTCTTCTTTTCTTTCTCTCTCTTTATGCTCCTTTTTTGGTGATGGAATATAGGTAGGATGGGAAAAAGGGGGGGGGTTCTTTTGTTTCCTTTTTTTCTCTGTTCCGGATATATTAAGGAGGTTTTTCTTCTTCTTATATGTGATAGTGCCGCGCCACAAAAAGAAACGCATCAAGGGGAAAACAATAAAAAGGAAACATAAAAAAACACACAATTATAGGTTGTTTTCTCACTGTGGGATACTACTTTGTAGAAAATCGCATGGCATGTAAAAATGAACAATAAGACTCGTACTGTATGGTATCACTTAATGATTGCTCTTGGGTTTACATGCGCTTTGGCCAAGAATAAGGTACTGCCATCTTTCTCATCCTGTTTAGACACTAATCACAGTCTGCGTCTAATTGCTTCGCTTGCTAGCACTTGCTGGAAATGGGTGAATTGTTCAGACTCACTTTCGAAGATCTTGACCATGTCTTCCAACGATTGTCTCATGGCTTGGTTTTGGGTTGGATTTGTGTTCGTCGCTCACTTACATCCATGGCGGTTGCTGGTGTCCGCTCCGTTCAATTGATACATCGTCTTAGTGCGAGATGGTAGAGGTCGCTGTGGAAAAAAAGTGTACAATGTTGTAGAGCAAGTATAGTAGAACAAGTAGCTGATGGATGTTGTTGCGCAATACGTTTTGTGGTGACCCAAGTTGAACATTTACATGGACACGAAACGGTTTATATCTAGCTGAATGAGAACATGAGGCAATTCAAATAGAAAAGACTCCTTAGCTGCGAGCTCCAGTGTAATATGGCCATCTCGCTGAAACATGCTTTTTTGCTTCACGGTTAGGTCATTTGGTTATTCGGAGATGTACGAAGTAACAGATAATAAACACGGTTATCTCAGAGAGAGGTGGGGAGGAAGAGACTTTCATTTGAAACAAAATGATGTAAATTATAATTCTATTCATTCAAGAGCTTTCGTAGAATGTATCAGCTACTCGAGTACTTTTTAGATGATTCCTATTCACCTCGTTGTTGTCTTTCTGTCCTTGACATCAAATGCTGTAGATCCGCCTAGAATAAAACTCCCACATACCCAGTTTGATACCAATTTTTTTATGCCGTTAATAAATATGTCTATGCTCGACAGAAGAGCTTTGGGATTATCCAATGGTACACGCCAGCTTTCATCTGTCCACGGAAGCGACGCTCTGGATCTGAACACCCCCAACAACAGGCTAGAGCCTCAGCAACGCAGAATGTGCCGACACGTGGTAGTGTGCTGCTAGACAAATGTCCCGCGTATATGAGAAGAGCTGATTAATTATGAACGTTGTGATGTTCTGGGTATCACCACATGCAGCTAACAAAAAGCACCACCTCGAAACCTCATTTCTTGAAAAATCCGGTTCCAGATTTAGCAGCAGGCCGGTTTCGCTTCAAGAGCAAATCCTTGGAAGACCTGGTATGCTTCTTGAGTTTTGGCGCCATTCGTTCGTCCGTCTTCTTGGCAACTCGGTACACTGTAGAGTTCACCACTTCATCCTTGGGCCCGGCATCTAGGCGTGTAAGCCTCTTTTCGACTCCGGAAACCTTTCGTCTCTTTGGCCCTGAAGCAGCATCGGCAGCATCTTCATCCTCATCTTCGCTTGAAGAATCTTCCAGGAACTCGGCGGGGAGAACGGCTGGGATGTCAGACTTCTGCACTCGCTTCCTTCCGCTGCTGGCTTCAGACTTTCTGCTTTGTGACTTGGTGGCGGACACCTCTTCCTTGGCCTCATCAGCCTTCTTTCGCTCCTCGGCTTGTTTCTTGAGGAGCTCATCGCGCAGTTGACGCTTGCGCTTCTGTGTAGCAGCTTGTCTGGTAGGAGAGTTAGCCAAAACAGTAACCTAAAAATTGGTGATTGGTAACAGGAGAACATACTCTTTGGCTGCCTGTTGAGCAACTTGTGCGGATTTCTTGATCTCTTCAGCCACCTTGGTCGTAGACACAGCTTCGGGAGCTTCATCATCGCTATCCACCTCCTCCTCCTCTTCCTGGCCCTCAACTGCCTCCGCTGTTTCGGCAGCTCGATTTAATGATGACCCAAGAGGAGCATTTGCTTCATCTTCATCCTCGTCGTCAAAAACTTTGAGAGTGCCCTTGGTTGGTGTAGACGCTCCTTCCTCTTCCTTCTCTCTCACTGGCAGCTTCTGCGCGGGGCTTGATTTCGCACTTGACTTCTTTGTGACACTCGCACCCCCTTTTACAGGCGTATCTTGCATAGCCGCTCTTCTCCTAGTTTGAACGGGCATGTTGGCGATGAGATCCGGCGCTGTGAAAATTTCTCTCGAGTTTGGCGTCTACTTTGACACGTCGTATACCGCGAATTGCTTGGCGAATCACCACAATTTCTCCAAATTTTGATTATTAATTGGAATAAGAAGATTCTTTTCTCTTCAGATAGCTCGTTATGTTTTTTTTTCCCGGTTAGGCCTTTTCGTTTGCTTCTTCTCACTTGGTGTAGTCGATTTGCGATTTGCTCGAGGTTCGAGATTCAAAAAAATTTCGGTGGGGCCTTTGGGCGAGATAGCCACCAACTGCTAGCGCGCCTGATTAGCCAGCCGCTTAAACGAATTGGATACGTCCAAGAGCAGCCTTTCAACTTCCGTCTCAACCAAATCATCCAGTCACTATTTCATGAACATCCAACCAAGATAATACACTTGTGAAACTTACGAGCCAACGAGATACGGATTTTTATACATTCTACAGTTTTCTATCCATTGAAGTCTCTAGCTTTTGTGACGCTCACTGAGCGGTGAAGCGCTCACTCCAACTGGCTATTCCTGCTTTCTTCATGCGACTCACCGGATAGCCGCTTCACAAGAGATACGCTTCCATTTTCATCCTATTTTCCGGTATCATGTCTACTTGCGGCTATTGCAAGGCCATTCGGCCCCTAATAGCTTCAGCGCGGTCATTAAGAATCACCCCCGCAACGCATTCCATCAGGCCGCAAGCTTCGACAGTTGGCAGTCATAGACAAGTCCGGCATTATGCGGTACCAAAGATGAAGAGAGTCGGTCCGTCACCCCTCGAAGTGTTCAGCTTATCCGAGATCCCCATGTCATCTTTCACTGCCGTCATCGAGAGAAGCGGAGAGGCCTTTAAACGAGCCTCCCCTGCTGAGTATTATGATTGCGTCAGAAAATTCCACGACGCAATTAGTCGGGGTTCAGATCCATGGTCCGTGGCATTGACTGGCAGTATGTATCAGATTATTTTCCAATACATCTCCTCTGTGCCATTGAATGCTAACTCATGTCGAAGAAGATGGCTTCTCCGTTGAGGTAATCCACGACGCAGCTTGCATCATGCGACAAGTTCGTGGTCCCCGGAGCGCAGACGCATTCTCAACCGCGCTTTGGACAGCAGCCTCAGACGCTGGCTATCGGCCCTCTATATTGTCGCTTGCAAGGCATCTTGTGCGATCGGGTGCCTACGGACGCGTCCCCCAGCTCCGAAAGGTCGAAGCACGATTCAAGCAACTCGTCTCAACAGCAAGAGACGCTGATGCTCTTACTGTGGAAGGCGAACTTCAGTACGAGCAGGGGAACTACGAAGCTGCAATCAGAGCGTTGCGACGGGCGCTGCAGGTAGGGACCCCGGACTTTGAATGGAAGCATAGCTGCCAACTATGCGTGGGCAAATCATTGGTCAAAACGAACCAGCATGAAGAGGCTCGAGCATTATTCGAGTCACTATCCGGCATCGGCTTCGTTGAGGCGGACGTCGAGCTTGGCAAATTGCTTCGCGTAAGCGACAAGGATGCTGCAGAAAGGCACCTGTTCACTGCCGCGTCCAATGGGAGGGGCGACATGTTCAGCTTACTGTCGGAAATTGCCCTTGAGAAGGCTGCAGATTCTGGAGACGACAAGGCATCAAAAGAAGAATCCTTACGATGGGCCAAGGAGTGGTCAAAATTGGCGGACCCGCCCACAGAATACTAACAATGCAAATCCTAACAACACCGCCACAGACTCAAGGGTAGCGGTGAGAACGATGCGCGCGCCGTTGACCCAAGCTTTGAGTACCCGTGCAAATTCTCCCGGCCCCAAGGGTATTCAGATACGTGTAAGATACTAAGCATCTGTATTTCGAGCGCACTTGCATGCCATGTACAGTGGCGTGCGACACCCTGATCGACGCGAGATCCGACGCTTTGGTAGGACCATGGCACGGAGCGACGGGAAGACCTTGAAACGATGCAGGGAGGGCGCAGATGGCTAATCACTCTTTGGGTGGTATCGACAAACGTCAGTTTACGCGAGCAAACAATTCCATGCCAAACCAGTTCTGTACCAAATTTCTTGTCGTCTTTCGAATTTTCGGTCCTGGATCTCTAAAATCTGAGGACAAAGAAAAAGGGGCATCTCAAGATTACCAGGCAAAAAAAGCGCCAGCTGTATAATTCCATACAGTTTCATTTATATGTGAGATTATTTGCATTTACAGCAGATGTTATATCTATACGAGAATTTACTTGTACGTAATGACGATCATTTGTCTATGTGAAACATGGAGAGTAGGGCATATAGACTTGGTGCATGCTGCACATGGCTGATCAAACCGCTGAACCAACACCTTGTAGAAGTAGACGAGCTGTACTCTGCCACGCATGACAATATGTATATTGGAAGCTTGTACTTTGTAATTGGTGCGGGTAGGTATTTCTTCTGACTTGGAAGACGACAAATGGCTAGTAAAACCCCAAGTTTCGTATGCCCTTCTTCAATAAGACTGGACGAATGCATCCATCAACTTTTGAATCTTCATGTATAAGGTAGTCTAAATCTCGATGCTAGTTGAAAGCCTAAAAGACAATCCAAGATGGCGAGAGTGGCGGAGAACTCCGTGCTCAGAAATGAGCTGTAAGCTGCATATATCATCGCCAAGGCCACGCACGGGCTCTTTTAGATACGGGTATGCTGCCAAGAATAGAAAGGGCTACTCTGAATATAGAAAAATGAAGAGCTTCTGGAATCCAGGTAGAAGAAGGGGATAGCTTTAGTGGGTGGTTTAAATTCATGGGCGGGATGCGTAGGTCGGGTATTACAACTAGCTGGCGTTACACTTTTGATGATTTTTCGATTTGTTTGTAGCTTGTCGTTTGATTATACTCGCAAAACCCTTTTAGGTACGCGGCTTTTATGGTGAACGAGCTGCTGGACCGTGCTGCCATAACACTCAATGTTGGTTCAATCCTGCCCCTAGAGTTCTATGCACATGTACCTGTACCTAATTTACCAAGAAGAGATATATCGAGATTTAAGCTTCTTGTCAAGATCTAGAGGCAAAATCAGCCGCAGCCGTCAACTACATCTTCATCTGTCCGTTTCTTCCCGCGCCATTTGGCGGTCTGCATGCACTTGCGCAGCCTCTCGTTGTTTGAGCCACTTACACATGGCACTGGAATGTCGATCTCGATACGAGAGGGCATCCACACGTGCTCACATACATGTACGTCACATGCCAAGAGCAAACTGCATGCATCATGTTTAAAATAGACGTCCGCGGTACGTACTCGATGTACATGTGCAGCAACGCCGAGTCCTTGGAACCATCACCGTGCGTAGGTAGCTACTACTGCTGCTGCTAGATCATGTAAGCTTCTCCTATAGTACTACTGCTGATGGCAACGCATAAAGTACTCATATACGTCACGACTCTAGCAAGCAGCTTCACAGAGCTAGTTTGTCCCCTCACACTGCATGTTCAGCTGGCCAGGGTAGCGGTAAGTTCCAGTCCCCTGTTTGCGCCCTTTGCTGCTGCTGGTACTGTACGGAGTCAAGAGTTCAGGTAAGCTGAGCTGCAAGGGGCTCAAGCCACTACGCCGCTCCACTTGGCAGACGAGTCCTACAGTAGGCTCAGGTACAGTAGGCTCAGGTACGTGGCATAGGCCCCTTGCCTGAAGCGGTAGTATTCCTGCATGTACGGAGCATTGCTCGTATAAGAGTAACTTGAACTGGCACGCGATGGCTGCTACTGTGCTTTGTAAGTGCTGGTAAAATTATACAGTAGAATACCTACATGTGCAAGCATGTGCAAGTGCCGACACGGCAAGCAGAACAATGGCTTGTGCCATCCTGTGCATTGTATGAGAAGAACCGATTACTGGCTGTGGGATCCCCTTTCAAGCTTACCAATACAATGCATGCAGCAGTGCTCCGTACTTCGTATGTAGGTAGGCAGACGCATAAGAGAAATTGCATGCATGCACGCGAGCAGCGGTATGGCATACGAGTAAGAAGCATCGTATCGAATGCAGGTACCGATGGGCCTCGCCGCGCCCTGCAGAAGCGAGAAACATGGATTCTTCAACACCACATGCCGTGTCGCAGCCACTCCCACACGTGGCCGAAGAGGTCCAAACGACACTCACTCTGGGGAATGAGTCCCGTCCCGTACTCCAGATAATTTGCCATTGTGAGACTGCCGGACCCGCGCCTGAGCCCGCGCTCGCCGTCATCGTGAGGTTTCCAATCAAAAGCCATTGTTCTTTCGGTCGCCCAGGCGCAGAAACGGGCAAAGTGCGAGCCAAAAGGGGGAACCAGCTCTCCACTGAGGCGCCGGCAGAGTTTGGAGCTACCGTGCCTTGGAACGAAAGAACAAAAGCTGCGGCCAATTTTGTTTACATGGCGGCGCACAATTGTTTCGCGTCTTGGTCTGCGGACTGCACTATACACTGCGGGAAATGAAGTAGGATCAGAATTGTCGAAATATTGAAACGAACGTTGCTTTGTTTTGTCTTTGAATATTCCTTCTTCTTCGCCCTTTTAAAACATGGTTGTTTTGTTAAGGGGGCAGGCCAGCCCGGCAACGGCTGCCACAGCCAAAACATTGACGGGAACAAAATCTGAGATGAGAGCTGATGATACATACAGGTACAGCAAGATGCCGAGCATGGGATAAAGTACCTGTCTACATGATTCATTAACGGGACCGGAACGACAGTATATGGAGCATGCAGGGAACTTGCCCGAGCCTTGGGCGTTTTATTGGTTTATTACTGCTGCCAAGTTGTCCCCTTGCTGCCCAGAAGAGGTGGATTATGCGTCGTATGCAGGTTAGGGCTTCCAGTTTGTACGCTTTAGTGCTGCATATCCAGGTACCCGCGGCATATTTATTCCCAGATGCAATACAGTACGACAGCAACGATTGCCCAGCTCAAAGGGAAGGGAAAAAAAGCTTTTACGCGAGGAACTAACAGGGATTTCTCTTGGAATCAACCAAGCCCTAGGAGAGAAAAGAAGAAGCAGCCGGGCGAAGAGCCAAGTGGGAATATAAGAGGAGCCCGGCAAAGCGAAAACTGTGTGCAAATTATGGAGCAAGACCTCGGAATCTCGTACTCTTCGGCGCTGCTGCCGTCGTACCTGTACCTGTACCTAGACCTGTACCTGGGCCTGTACCTGGACCTGTCATCGTGTGCGCTCCGATAGGCTTATGGATCCCCGTCTCCCCTCGGCCCTCGTTACATGCCAGGAGTTTCCGTGGCGTCGGGTTGCTAAAATGGGACGCAGCCAGTGTCCCAGGGCCGTGGACCTCTTGGGTACTTTGCGCGCAGGTACCTTTGCACTGCGCACGGCAGAGCGGCTACTTGGACATGCGCACAGTGGCTGCGTACCCCCTGGACCTCAAACACATGGCTTCTGCTGTACCCTTTGCATTCTCCCACTTGCTCGCCTTTTTTTTTTTTTTTTTTGCTGTTTGTTGACTCAATCCCTTGCTATTTACTTTCAAGTGTATCAAAGGACCCTGATGTTGTCATAATTGATGGATAGGTACCCAGTACCACTTGAAAGAGGTTGTGGATAAGAGGGCTCATGCGATCAAGTTTAACTTTGACTCCCTGTTGGGACATGGCCCTTTGAAGATGTAGCTCGTTGCGTTTGCTGTATCCCATGCAACCATCTCAGTCCGTAACGGCTGACGCTCTATAAGCAACGGCGGAAAGCATGTTTTCCATCTATTGGAACCGTCAATATAATATGCTTTGGCTCTAAGCAGCTCAGTGCCCAAAGCAGCTCATAACCCGCCGCTTACAAGCTCCAACATGGCCCAAAAAGAATAACGTGTAATAAAAAAAAAGGACAACATGAAGCAAACGAAAGGGAAGCAGCTCCGTTTGTCCTCTGGCCCAAGCAGAAAATTCACTTCCCGGCTGCTCCGCCATCTATTCTCCTCTTGTTTATGTAAAACGGCCAAAACAACATGGGCCCCCTCCGGCTGGGCTGAGAGCCAAAGTTTGACACACCCCTGTCACGATGCAAGGTTGCCCTTCCCAAGATGTCCCGTCCCCTGTCCCTGCATCCACCTCTGCAGAAAAAGAGAGAAGAAGAAGAGAGAGAAAAAAATCTCACCAATACCACGGTGTACCTGCTTGACGCACGCCCGGATGCCCTTCCGCGCAAGTCTTTTTTAGTAAGGCCCTCTTATGCCCAGGGCCCCGAACGCGTATTCCCCGAGAGGATGAGATTCTACAAGCTTTTAGTGTAGCTGTTCCCCCTCATCCTGGGACCGGTTTTGTTCCTTTTTTCCCCTTCCCTCTTTTTCTTCTTGTTTCTCACTTCTCCAGGCTAATCCACCCTCCTGTGGTGCTTCTCTCTTTTTGACCTCCCCGTCCGGAATGCCTGCTCCAAAGCCACTGTAACGCTCCTTTTCCTTTGCTCAATCAAATCGAATCGATGAGAGCACTGCCTGGCTTTCTGCCAACCTTTGTTTGCCGTCGCCTGTCTCAGCTATCACTTATCACAAAAAATCACAAGCCCCGGATTCCCACCATCTGCCGGATCTAAAGAAGCGCACTAGAGAAAACGAGCCTGCAGCTTCACATCGATCGCCACCAACACCTCAAGGACTTTTTTTTTTCTTTTTCTTGTTGGCTCTTGTCCATTGGCATCGTTGGGCTTTACTGCCTCTTTTTATTTTTATCCTTCTTTTCGAGCTTGGCGGTTGACGATCTGTGCGCCTGCATTGTCACTCTCTGAATAGCCAATCGGTTACCCGCTTGGCGCAACCCTCTGTATTTCAGGCCTCGCTCTCATACCACCGGAATTCTTCCAAACAACAGTCTTTTCTTCCTCCGACTCCCCCTCTTGGGCCAGCAACGCTCATTTCTGGTCAACAATGCCTCGACTCGTTGCAATTGCGCTGGGAGCGCTCACCTTCATCGCCACGACGGCCACGCTGTGCACTCAGATTGCCATCAGTGTAAGCGTTCCTCAGTCGTCACCGGGCAGAATAACATCAAGTGTCGCTGCGGCCTTTGAAGCCGCAATTCTGGCCCTTCTAGCATGGCTTGTTGCGACTGATATTCTGCCTGCATTGCCGGGGCGATCCAAACCGCTACGAAACATGCTCTATGGCCTCAAGATCTCGGCTTGTGTCATTGCGACTGTGACCTCAATCGTCGCTCTGGTATACTTGGCCCAGGTCGATGGAGCAGACAACCAACACCTCCTTGTCGGATCCTCCATCACATTCGCACTGGCAATTGCTTTTCAAATCGTATATACTATTCATCAGTTCTTTTCCAACTCGGACGGCAGCAAAGACGTGGAGAATGGCCGATCGCGCAAGGTTAACCTCAAGACCATCAGATACAGCCAGACAATGCCCATTACAGAGGAGACGAATCACACTGCACAGCTGGAGTCTCAGGGTAATCGAAGCCGCTCCAACTCGGCCGACTGCAAGTCAATGGCTGAGACTGTCGCATCGTCCGTGACTTATGTGTCCCACTCGATTCGCTCCGTTTCGAGCAAATCCAAGATGCGCTCCTCAAAGGAGGGGAGCCGCTCCATGTCGATGGACTCGACTGCCAACCGAAGCACCATGGGCGACGACGCTTTTGATTCCTGGGATACATCAACAGTAGACGTACACAACCGAGAGGCCGTCATGGAAATTTCAACACCCACGCAAAGCAAGCCCCGCGGACTGGAAACCATTCCTGCCAGCCCCGTGGCTAGCCGGAGTCCATCGCCGCAGTCCTTTGTCGAACTTGAGCCGCCCCGTATTCAAACCCGTCGCCGAAGCCGAAGCTACAGCCCCGTCTCTATCAGACGGGAGCTTCGTGATCTGCCGGGCGCAAACAGCAGCGAGGCCCATATCCATCCTCTCTTCCGATCTGACTCACCCGACCCGCATCCTTTTGCGACGCCTGGCACCATCGTCATGGCAGCGCCAGATGCGGGACGAGTCCTTTCCCGCCAGTCAAGCAACATATCCCTCAACCGCCTCCGAAGTGACAGCCTGCCGATTGCGCCTCCAAACCTGAACAGGGACGACGGCTTTGATTCCAGGTCATTGAGGACGTACGGATCTGAGCTGGATCTCAGCAAACATGCCCACGGTGACATGGACATGGTACCTCCTGCGCCTGAATGGCTGCGCAGGGAAATATGATTGGGCCATAGACGGGGACTTTTTAACGACTTGACGTATCTGAATTTTTCTTCTTCTTCTCTTATTTATTTTTATTCCCTCCTTTATCTTTTTAACGAAACCAAACCATTTTTTATCGATTACATGGGAGAAACGCCAAAACACCGGAAACAAATGGAAAAAAATATACGTTAGAAATTAGGATATGGATGGAAACATGGCGTTGATACCATTTTGTTGTTGGCCAAAGTATTAGATGAGCGTGGCGTTGGATGCCCCTTTTCATTTTCATTTGATCTTGCCGCTATACCTTCTCTTTTCTTTGGGGATACACGTGTCATATGTCCAAGTATCCCTTGAGACTTCACTTCGCTTCGTCGGCAAGACTATATTTAGCAAAATAAAAAGCAAAAAGTTATACTCTACGATGTCGTTGTAGTGGGCGCAAAATTGACAAGCGATCTACGTTGGCTTATGACATGTGATTGTGAGCCTTCTTTTGGTGAACGATTAGCCACATCTCAAGTGCCTTACCTGTAGTGAGACTACTATTACCAATACAGTACACAAGAAGGCGCAAGTGGCGCTAGAATACACCCATGGGCTCATCCGAGGCTCGGGAGCCAAGTCTTTTAAGCCTCGACCGGCTGGGGTACTTGGGCGCGCATATCGCGATGCACTGGGCACGAGGTACCCTGACCAGGCAGCAAGGCAGTCGTGGCGTATGTCATCAACATGATGTTGGGACTGCAAACATGCATGCATGAGTGTATCTGCATGGGCCTTGGGAAAACTCTAGATCGAAATTACGCGGCCTTTGATGGCTGGCCCCTTGAGAGGACTCCATATATATCTGCAGGTATACATAACAACATGGTATCTGTAAATGTTTTTGGCGCTGCTGCTCTTTTTATTCTACTTCTCTTTTGTCTTGATGTGGCTAGGGATGAAGCATCAAATACTAGTATGGCTGAGCTCGTAGCCTGATAGTCAGCAATGAGAGACAAAAAGCAAAGTTAAACACACCCAAGTAACTACCTAGTAGTACATTGTTGTTATAAGCACCTCGTCTCAACGCCCGTGCTGGATATTCTCCTCGTGGTCATACAAAGCAAATAAATCTGCATGCATGTGCCCCCCAAAAGCCACACGCAGAGAAGCAGCCAGCAGCCAGCTTAGTAGTCCCCAGTGGAGTCCTTCAGTGCTTTTGCCGCTCTCTCGTCCTCTCCCCACCACTAAAACAGCCACACGCTTCTCTCGCTCGACCCCACCCTCTGCAAAGCCCAGGCGCCGCAGCCTGAATAACTTCCACCTCTTCCAAATCTGCCTCGACATCAACGATCCAGCGTATCGCCTCTGCCCTCGAGCGGCGCACTCCTCTGTCCATCTCCATCTCCAGCGCCTCTCTCTTTGGCCGACTCTTGCGCACTCACATCTGCTGCCCGCTTGCGAACGACGACAGCGAGGCCTTCCGCTCGAACCTTTTTTTTTTTTTCTCCCCTCCCATCCGACGCAGCCACTTCGCTGTCACACATCTGCCCATCATGAAGGTCACATTTCGAGTACGTCGCCAGCTGTAGTCCGGCCCGCGCGAGGCATCACACGAGCGCCAGAGTGGCTACGATGCCTCCCTTTTGCAGCCAGCCGATGCTTTCTTTCACCTCGCAGGCGCTGACACTCCTCTTTTCATCTAGGATCTCAAGCAACAAAAATTCGTCCTCGATGTAGAGCCCACAGACCAAGTACGTCTATAGTTATCCATCTTTGCGAGAGCTACCCTTATTATCGCCGCTTATCGCCGTCGTCGGAGTCGACTACTGACTGCGGTTCTCTCTATCAGATCTCCGCCGTCAAGGAGAAGATCGCGGCCGAGAAGGGCTGGGAGCCCAAGACCCAGAAACTCATCTACTCAGGTTTGATATACCCTGGCTTTCGCACCGTTGCGCTGCGCTGGCTCTGACCTGATACAGGCAAAATCTTGAAGGATGATGATACCGTTCAGTCATACAATATCGAGGAGAAGGGATTTGTCGTCTGCATGGTGAACAAGGTACGACCTGATATCGGAATACCTTTGCGGCTCTCATCCATAGTCTAATCTTTGCCAAAACAGCCGAGGCCCGCCGCCGCCGCCGCACCCGCCGCCGCTGCAGCACCGCCAGCTACTCCTGCGCAGCGAGTTCCCAGCACACCTGCTGTGCCCCCTGCCCCCTCTCAGACTTCCAGCCAGGCCCCTCCTCCAGCAACACCGACTCCTAACCGCTCCGTCGAGTCGCCGTCCGGCGGTGTATCTGGCTTGGCCATGGGTGCCGAGCGCGCCGAAGCCATCGCCAACATGGAAGCCATGGGCTTCGAAAGAACCCAAATCGAGGCAGCTATGCGTGCTGCCTTCAACAACCCCGACAGAGCTGTTGAATATCTTCTAACTGTGGGTACCATGTAGAACCATCATTTGGTTGCCGTTTTATCTAACATGAGCTCCAAAGGGCATCCCCGAGAACATCCAACAAGAACAGCAACAACGGGCAAGCCAACAGCAGGCCGCCGCTGCCGCACCAACTGCCGCCCCTGCTGCTGATGACGATGGTGGTGTTAACCTGTTTGACCTCGCTGCTCAGCGAAGAGGTGGCGGTGCCAGCGATGCCCCCGCGGCCGCTGGCGCTGGACAGGGCGACCTGGGCAATCTTGATTTCCTTCGCCACAATGCCCAGTTCCAACAGCTTCGTCAAGTGGTTCAGCAGCAGCCCCAAATGCTTGAGCCTATCCTCCAGCAGCTTGGTGCCGGCAACCCTCAGCTTGCCCAGCTGATTGCTTCAAACCCAGACCAATTCCTGCAGCTCCTTGGTGAGGATGCTGATGACGACGTTCCCCTGCCCCCTGGCGCCCAGGCCATCTCTGTTACGGAAGAAGAGCGTGATGCGATTGAGCGGGTTAGTTTTCTTCTCTATTATACCTTCATCTGTTGCGATGAATGCCCTTGTTAACAAATCCTACAGTTATGCCGACTTGGATTCGACCGGGACCAAGCCATCCAGGCCTACTTTGCCTGCGATAAGAACGAGGAGCTTGCGGCCAACTTCCTCTTTGACCAACCAGAGGACGATGAGCCGCCGACAAACTAGGAAGACCTTGTGGGAAGCTGAGAAGTCGTTGGAGCGTTTCAATGGTAATGAGCAAAGGAAAGACTTGGGAGGACAAATGGAAGATAATTTTGATAATTTGGCAATATTAAGGCGTAGGATGACCTCGTGGGGCGAACGACCGTAATAATGCTGCTGCTTTTGAAAATTCAAGTATCACTTACTGGTTGGACCTATTCGAAAGAAATGAAGGCGCTGGCCCGGGAACAAACGAGACGAAACGAGACGGGGCCGCGGGACGCTTTGACAGGTCATATGGGAATTTTACTTACTCTGATATCGAATTTGGCAGAAGAAAAAAAAGTCTAACGTTAAAGCAGACTTTGTGTCTATACTCATTGAATCGTGAAGAGTAAGCTGGATATATCTCTAGGATGGCAATATGCGAACAAATTGAATAAGAAGTTGTTTAGTATTGTTCTTGATACTGAATTAATGAAACAAATGAATCAGGTTTGTTCTGTCCATAACTAGGTACGTAGGTACATGTAGTCCTCAAAATCTCGAAGAAAAAAAAACCCCAGTCCGTAAAAGCATCTTGAGGGGTATTGTCATAATAATCCTTTAACTATCCTTCCTTCCATTGCCCGAGCTAAATTTCCCTCTTTGCTCTTGAAAGTTAAAAAAAAAAAAAAACGCCGATACTATGCCGAAAGCAAAATTTGAAAAGGCAAAAAGCAAAATTTTGAAAGAGAGAGAGAGAGAGAGAGAAACGTAAATGGGAAAAGCTGCCCAATTTCTTTGTTTTTCTTTTCAGATCAAGCTTCTGCAGGAATGATTGGTTCGCCGTTCAGCCCATACTGTATAGTCTGTTTCCCCTTCTTCCCCTTCTTCTTCTTCTTCCCCGAGGCGTCCTCGTCCGCAAATAGCTCCTCGCGCTTCTTGCGCATGATTTCGGCCTGTTCGTCGGCGACGCGCTTCTGCTCGGCCTCAAAATCGTCTTGGATCTTGCGCTGCTCGGCCTCGATAGATTCCACAGATTCAAACTCGATGCCCGTAAAGGCCTTGTACTCGTCAATGTCGATCCGGACCGTCTTTTCGCCTATGAGCGCAGCGTTGAGGAGGTGGGGGCAGTGACGTTCTTCGCGGTTATATTTTAACTTTACGTGTCGGCGCTGCTTGTTGGGGAACATCCGGGAGATCATCTCGAATTCTGTTCCAAACATGCGTAGGCCTCGATAAAATAGCTCTGTTTCTTCATCGGTCCAAATGTTTGGTCCCTTCAACTTTGAAGTGTTCATAAACGAGCTACTGGTGATGAGTCTGGTAAAGTCGTTTTCTTCCACAGTCTCCATGTCCCCTCTTGCTGCGGCGGCACGAGCATGTCGATCCATGACCAGTGAACTCTGATCGATGATAATCTGGCCATCGACAATTCGGAACTGTGGGCCAGAGGCAGGTGCTGGTGAAGATGCGGCGGTCGGTGTGGCGCTTTTGCTCTTGATTGCCGGGTCTCCTGATGCTTCTGGGGCTTCTGACCCATCACGACTGGTGTCGCCCATCATTTTCTTGACTTTGGATCTTACTCTCGCTTGTCGTTCTCGCTCCCGTAGTTCGTCGTGGCGGCTGAATTTTTTGCCAATATGTAAATCTTTTGTCAAATCGGTCATTTTAAGGTTCTGCAGATCCACAACCTGTGTTTCCGCATCCTCTGGTGTTACTGAGCGCGCTTTTCTCGCTCTGGTTCCCGGTGTTGTTGTCCCATCCTGAGTGGACGCTTTGCGTTGCCTTGGCTTGGCAGCCGCGGTGCCACTCGCATTTTCTGATGCCTTGCGCTGACGCTTTTTTGGTCGCGCCTCGGCATCCACATCCCCATCAGCACCCTCCGCTGCTGAAGCGGGTGCTTTCCTTCTAGTTCTTGTCTTCGGCGCTGTGGAAGGTGCTGGTGTGGCTTCCTGAGCAACTGGTGGTGAAATTTGTGATGCATCTGTGCCTGCTGATGTCTCGGGCGTAGTGTCTTGGATATCTTGCGATGGGCGTGGTGGATCTCGTAGTTCTGGCGCAATGTTGTGATCTTCAACAATAGGTCGTGGTTCTCTTTGCTTATTTGCCTTGGGCGGCTCCAAGTGCTGCGCATCTCTTGTCGCAGCTTCTACTGCTGTGCTGGGAGAGATATTTGCTGCCTCCGGAATGCTTGGTTGTGGCGTGTCGAGCAGTTGGACTTGCTCTTGGGGTCTAAGGCTGGAGACATCCTGCGTCGACGGCTCAGATGTGATAATGGAGCTTGCTCTCGCAACATCAGAAGATTCTGGCGAGGAAAAGTTTTCTGATTCGCTTGTGCTGGCGGTATTATTTGAACTCTCGCGAGCGTCGAGGCTGGGGCTTTCAACAGCCGCGATCGACACTGGCTCCGGCTCGATGACCTCTTTCTCGGCTTCGACGTCTGCAGCGGGGATCGCGGGGCGTGGTCGTGCAGATGGGATCCTTGGTTTGAAGGCAAGGCCGCCCTTCTTCTTGAACATGGAACTCATTTCGGCTTATTGGTGTGGCATGTACAGTCAAGCGCTACCGCTGGGCCGTGTTTACTCCATCTGACGAGTGGATGGCAGAAAACAAACGATGCGGCGCTGAGCTGGAGAGATAGGAAAGTTAGTTAATCGTAATCGGCCAATTTTTTTTTTACAATGCGCCAAAGGATTCCTCGGATAAGCCAGAAAAGTCGGTTGCAGAAGTGGGGTGCATGACAAGCGCGGCCGGGCTTTAGCCGGGACATGCATACGATAAGCAGAAAACTCGATCAGGCTAGAGCTGCGCTAGGCTTGTTTTGGCGCGCAGACGTGCCTCTTTGCTTTGCGAGGCAACTTCGAAATTTCAACTCCTTGTCGACTCAGTCTCTGCATCTCCTCCTCGCTGACCGTCGCGCCCTGCCACATGAACGCTTGCGCGCGCAGTCCAAGGACAACACCAGCCCGAGAGCACTCTTTGTTTCTTCTTGCCCGCCTGTATTCGCCCGCCACCCTCCCTGCCGGCCCTCCCTGACGCGCCTTCTCATGCCTGTGGCAACGACTCCCTCTGCCTCGCCTCGTCCATCCACGCTCGTGAAGATGGACGACAGGAAGAGACCCGCCATCAGCGGCGCCGAGGATCTGGCTCCTCCTAGCAAGAGGGTCGCCATCAATGGCTCCAAGGCCAAGGACGACAACGCGGACATGAAGGAAGAAACCTGGATCGAGGTAAGTGTCGCATGATCCCACTCCCCGTCCCATCCGCCCACGAGACACCCCGGTATCGGGACTGTATCTCATCCCCTCGTTCTCTTGGGCATGTTGCTGTCCCGCACCCAATCCCGCTCGCCCTGTCAGCTACAGCCCTTGTTGGGGGCGTCGTTGCCGGATGATAGTGCTCACCAAGCCAGTGATGTTGCTCATTGCTTAGCGAGAGCGATTAGCGGCTTCTTTGCTCCCCAAAAATCCAAGAGAAAAACAATTCAAAATCAGTAATACGCTCTGCATATCAACCCTCTTACCGCGCGCTGCCTATATCGTGATTCTGTTTCAGCGCGTCATTCATTCCACGCAGCGACCAATTTCATGACGAGCAACGTGGCGCTGACTGGACATAATCAGGTGTATACAAAGGGGGCAATCTACCGGCAAATGCAAGAATACAGCCGCAAGGCAGTGACGGCGGAGTCGCGCTTGGAAGAATTGCATAAGAGATCTGTGCATCACGACGATCATTTGCGAATAGTCGATGCATGGTGGCGACAGGTATATGGACCTCTGCGATCTTACTGATCTTCTTCAGTCGCTGTCAGACTAACATTCGTGCTGTAGCTTCTCGAGGAGCTTGAATTAATAGCTGCGTCAAAAGTAACACCTACGGAAAAAAGTGGTACGTTTCTACTTCCTGATGAATTGGTGGAGACGTGAAAGCCACGAAAGCCATTGATGGCTAACCCTTTTAAAAATTACAGATGGCCCATATCTCACAAGCGTCAATTTTAAGGATTTACATGACTTTCAAGTACACTTGCAGGAAAAGGGAAAATCGATCAAAACAAAAGCCGAAACGCTGCTCACTCAACTCGCTGCTCAGCGGCAAAACCTTTCCCCCAAGACATCTGAGCTGGAGAGCAAAGTCGCCAGTCTTCTGGCCGCCCAGAAAGAGTATTTCCTCAAACTTGACCGATTAAGCGGAGAAAAAGAGCAACTTTCGGAGCAACTTAATGCGGCGACGTTACGATACTTCAAGGCCGAGAAAAAATTGGATCGCGCTAAAAGTGCTCAGGTCCAGAGGTTGGAGCAACAAGCATTTGCTAACGCCACACGGCCTGTTACCACACCTACTGAGGGGGCACCGGAGCCCAATGAAGCAAATGGCACTGTCAACGAATTATTAGTCAAATATGAGGAAATCACAGCCGCCGCCGCGAAACAAAAGGAGCAGCTGGAAACCCTTCTCGCGGACCTCAAATCTGCACAGGAGGAAAACACGAGCTTGAAATCTCGACGAGACACATTTACGGACGAAGACTACATCAGAACTGATGTCTTCAAACAATTTAAGAACCAGAATGAGGATCTGATCAAGCGAATAAACACGTTGGAAGCCACTAACAAACAACTTCGTGAAGAGGCTGAAAAGCTTCAGGCGGAGCGAACGGCTTTCCGAACTCAGCTCGAGGCAGATATGAACCAGGTGGCACAGGATTATGAAGCTGATATTGCGGCGCGAGATCAGGATCTGACTCGCGTGCGATCTGCTCGGGATGAAATCCTCGCCGAAAACGTGCAGCGAAGGGCAAATGCGGAGCAAGAAAAGATTGCAATGGAGCACATCAAGGAACTAGTTGCAGCGAAGGAAGACAGGATATCGGCGCTCGAATTAGAACTTGCTCGCTTACAACCAATAGAGGATGAAACAATGACCGACGCTGGCGACGCCGAGGATATTACGGAAGTAGAACTCCGGCAAAAGTATAAGAAGCTGAAGCAAGATTTCAACTCCATTAACCTTGAGCTGCCCGCAATGGAGAAGGCCTACAAGAAGATGAAGGACCTGGCTCAAAAGAAGGTGCTCGATTACGCCGCTCTGGAAGAGAAGGTGGCCATTCTCATTGCTGAAAAGAGCAAAGCCGATCAGAAATACTTTTCTGCTCGAAAAGATGCCGACAACCGAAACAGCGAAATCAGGTCTCTTAGACATCAAAGCGGAAAGACAGCCGAGATTATTGCCCAGCTGAAGGACTTTGAATCTCAAAATCGGACTCTGCTATCCAATCTGGAGAAGCAGGTGGCGGATCTGAAGCAGGCCAATGCGGCTCTTGTTTCTGAAAACAAGAAGATGGAGTCCAATAGCCTCGAGGCTGTCAGGCGAGCGGAATCCGTTGCGAAGCAAGTCGGAGAACTGAGCAGTTTGGTAAAGTCAAAGGATGCATCCACAGCTGTCATCAGAGAGCGAAATGCAACGCAAGAGGTTGAAGTCGAGAAGATCAAAGTCCGGCTCGAGCACGTACAGAAAGATCGAGACAACTGGAAGAACAAGGCGCTAAGTAATTCGTCAGAAGAAGAAGATATGCTTCGAGTAGGTTTATCCCTGGTCGTTGTGCTGCATCCTTTTGTAGTCGTTTGATTCTAACTTTTGTTGAACATAGACCATGGCCTTGTGCACAGTATGCCGCACTAATTTCAAAAATACGGCTCTCAAAACCTGCGGTCATCTCTTCTGTAACAAGTGCGTGGATGACCGCATTAGTAACCGTATGCGAAAATGCCCCAGCTGTTCGAGGGCGTTTGACAAGATGGATGTTATGCAGGTTCACTTTTAAAATGAATTTTTAAAAATGAATCTTCATATCAACTTTTTTGTCTTGTATCACCTGAGTACTTGTGTTTATCTGTTTGGCTTTGATTTTTTCTTCATTTTTTTTTTCCTATTTTCGCATATGATTCCACGGAGGAACGACTAGAAATTTACATCGACAACGTCACGAAATCTATCCAAATGTGTTACAGGCGCAAAGGGGGGGTGGGGAGTTGCTAGCGGACGGATCCGCAGCGGAAGTTATATGGCATCTACCAACTATGTGCCATTTTTGTGTTTGCAAATTTTTCGAAAAAAGGGTATAGGGGTCGGCGTGTTGGACAAATGTAGTACCAGTGTACGTTTACGAGCAAGGGACGATATGAGGGGGTGCTTCCAACCTTGTACATTAAGTGTAAAGGATGATGGGCAGATATTAGGTCGCTGCCCAATGGGTCTACGAGGATGGAGCTGGGTTGGATAAGAGAGAAGCCGCAAGTTTGGCGCAGTTTCTGACCCATTGCTTGATATGCTTTGCTTATTTTGTGCTTGCTATGTCCTGGTGCTTTGTATTCCGTAGCACACGCATATACCTACATAGTACTGAAAAGAAAAACAAATAGATGGCTATCTACGACTTGTTGAGCCGAAGCCTGTGCTCTCGTGACGAGAGGAGCTAGAACTTGCGCCAGAGCCGGAAGAGAAAGACTGTGAGCTCGACGGCCCAGCACCCCATCCCCGTGAAGCGTTTCTGTCGTCCCGCCGATTGTTTCGATTTCCAGCCATGTAACCAGCCGCTGCTCCTCCAGCAAGCCCACTCCAAAACCCAGGTGTCCATCCTTGCTGCGATTGATCTGGCTTGGTTCCGGGATAAGGTGGCGGCGGATCATTTCCTGGGCCCCAGCCAGGACCCCAGCCGCCGCCGCCGCCTCCTCCGCCTCCTCCTCCTCCACCATATCCTCTTCGTCCAGGAGGGCGCTGTCTTGGGTTCGTCCCACTCTGCCATGCAGAGTACACTATCCATCCAAGAACGGCAATGAATATGACTGCAAATGCCCACGCGCCAAGATCCGTACCTCCTTCGCCGTCACTAAACCAGCGGCCGTTTGGATCTGCCACGCCTGGATATCTCTTCTCGCCTTTGTCGGTCAATATGAGCCTGTACTCGACTCCGCAGCTGCCTTTGAGAACATATGGATCATCGGGCGAAGAGTAGCCTTCGCAGATGACGTCGGTGCTGCCCAGCTTGAACTCTTCCGGCAGCGAAGCGGTGCAGCTCCATTCTACGTCCTCGTCGCCGTATGAGGAGCCCTGGTTGGTGCAGCGCAAGACGTCAATTGCATAGAGGTCGCAGACGGCCTTTGAAGAAATGCACTTGAGTTGCGGGACAGGGGCGACGCGGCGAGAGGCGGTCTTTGCGCCGTTGCCACGCAGGGTGAGAGTCCGTACTTCTGAGAGGAGGATTGCGTTCTTGTTTGGTCGGGCGGCGAGAGATTGGATGGGGAAGATGGAGAGGAAGAAGACAGCGAGGGCCAGAGGTTCGAAGAACATGGCTGCTTTATTTTCTTTGCGGCTAGACTTGAAGAGGGCCTATTAAATTTAAAGTTATTGATCGTTGGAGTTGGACCAGCCTTGTGTGTTACAAGGCCATGGCGCAATGTGCTGATGGATGGTTTGCTGGATGAAGACGAGAGTTGAGAGTAGATGGTGGAATTTGAAACGACTTTCAGGCAGAGTTTGCTATAAAAAGGCGTTGATGCCTTAGGGTAAGGACACGATGTCCTGAGTGACTTGGGGTTGTTAGGTGTGCGGATGTTCTCCAATAGACCAGCTCCAGAGCTCTGAAAGAGATTTAAGCAGTGGTTGCTCAAGCCCGTATTAGCTTAGAGGCTGTAGCGACGAGTCAGGATGACGGCATTGGCTGCCTGCTGGGAGGTGGCGCTTAATTTGTCGTCTACGGCGCGCTGGAAAATGGGCCAGCAAGCTGTGGCAGAGTCGCCTTGTGCAGTATATTTGACCATTTCAATCCGCGACATGGCCAGCCAACGCAATGGCAATCTCAAACAATTTTCGTAAAGAAGACTTGAGGAGATTGAAGAAATATTCAAGTAGATGTGTTAGAATTTTGGGGGGAAGACGCACAAGGAAATGCGTTACATGTTTAATGGGTATGAACGGCATGTTCACAGGCCGAGATTGAACAATGATCTATGCATGCAACAGAAGGATGCTCGCAATATACTCGTAAAACCATTGATAGCTCCCAAAGAGGAGGCGCTCACCGCGAACATCAAAATTATGTGCAGTAACGTCAAGGTTGTGCACAGCTTGCCATATGAATTTGCTAGCAAAAACACACTTTTAATACAAATACAGCCGTACTGGGTTACAGTCGCCCCAGACGTTGAGGACAGATGAGGCTACCAGGGACGAATGAATCTCAGTAATTGATCGATGAAGTAGCCCTCTATAATACCAATCAGCCATTTTACAAGAGGAAAGCGTTCCACAAACTGCCTTGCTTACGTTGCCGTAACGGTAGATAAGCAACGGTGGGCTTATAAGAACGCGGTAGTACAAGCTAAAAGGAAGAAAGAGAGAGTAATGGATAAAGAAATGGACATGGACCAACGAACAAGAAAGATTTAAGCTTATTAGCCTTAAATAACCACGTATTACATGGTACCTATATATTCGGCAGTTGCTCTGACCAGAGGCGGAATCGTGTTCAAGATCCTCAGGTACTGCACCTAGCGTGCTACTGATATTTCCACCTATTCCTGCTGCTTCATTTAATTTATTCTACCTTTTATTTTTCAAATTTGTACACCTCGAGTCTGGATATTTACTTTGGAGCAGTTATAAAATGTACCAACCCCGATGGGAGACAGTACGGGGCATACGGTCTTGAGCGTAATACAAGGTGTGGGTGTGTCAGCCATGGAGATATTAGTCGTAGTATTACGCGCTAAGACAAGCTTAATCCAGATCCAAGGAGACGAGGAAATAATAGAAACCACTCATTCAATGCACATATCATGACTGTGAAATTTTCTGGAATCTTTAAATAACCGAGATTCAGAATTTACAAACGAAAAGTACCATATAGGCCAAACAAGCAATTCTACTGCTTAATACATTGCAGCTGGATGTCCAGTCTACAGAACGATCTGAGGTCGGGATATTTTGGACCGCTGTGGGTACGGAACCTCAGCCGTCGCTCGGCTGACTGTCCTGGACTTCTCAAAGAGGCAATACGTGGCGGTCGTGCATATTACGAGGGTTGGACCAACACCGGTGGAAATTCAGCAACCCCTTGCAGCAGGGAACAGTACGAGCTGTGAAAGCTGTGTACAAGAACGCTTCAATAGCAAAGAAAAAAAAAGATGTGTGTCTATTGCCATAGGATGCCTTTAATTTTTGTTGGCCAAGTTGAAGCAGACCTGGCTTGAGGAGAAGAAGCCAAGCGGGAGAAGACGGAGAAGCGGGAGAAGCAAGAAAAGGGCGGGATTGCAGGTGGCTGGACGAGTCAGTTGAGATGGCATGTCTTGGTTACGTTACCTGAGATGGGTACGGAGCAATAAGACGGTAAGAATCACCATGTTGTGCGAATGAGATTTGACCGGTTGGGATTGATCCGACAGTGATCTTGGGACAGTACGAGAACCCCTAGTATAAGAAAGGTAGTTGATGTGATGATGGGATCGACGTTTCATTGCGAACAGTAGTGGTATTTTTTCTTGCAGTACGCAGCAGACATACTCGAGAAAAATCAAGATGCGTATCGAGTGTTCCGCATGTCTCAGAGTCCAGCATCATGGGTGGTGCGCCACGGTGGATGAGATGGATATGAATCCCAGCCAATGTCTTGGTTGTGCCTCCTACATATACAGTGTGTGTCCGTTACATCCACGACCTCATACGCGCATCAAGCCCCAGTCCTTTTGAGCCGACGCTGTAATGTAGCGCGAAGTGGGAGCTCTCCCATAGTCAAATGAAGATGGATTATACGAGCAATGCATTAGAGATTGTATTATTCAAAGGCAAAACAAATACCAAGAGAATCTTGCACCGGAGACCAGACTCCTTGGGTGCGGTGCACAGTGCGCCGATGCACAGGCTAGTGGAATGGAGGCGGCTCACTACATGGTGGTGTCACAGCTCGACTTAGAATGCCTCCCAACTCCCATCCCTGTCGAGAAAAGCATGAGTAGCCAGCACGCGAGCTTCCCGGCCGCCCAGCCCCCAGACATGCTGTACGGGCACAGTAAGAGTGTTTGCTCTCGTCTCCGCCGAAGCAGACAAAAGCCAGCTGCGCCCATGGCCCCCCTCGGCATCATCCATCTCTGCCAGGGAGCTACGCGTGCTACTACTATCTCCTGACGTGTATAAGCGGCAAATCATTCTACAGGCGTTTCTTACACCAAGCATTACTGCTGCTGCGAAGCTTCCTCCCGCGGTGACAAAAGCCACGAGTCCGTGCGTGTGCAAATCTACCGCCCTGCCTATCCCTTGTTGTCTCCTCGATGACCTAAGCCGTACTGAGCTTTGTTGGACGCCGCCAGCGTCGCGTTGGAGATACCTCTGGCTACGGGGATTTGCCATTTGCATGTACATACCAAGCACAGTATCTGGTCAACAGCTACGGTAACTGAACAGCAGAGGTGCCGCACTGATACACAGAGGCCGTCGTCTTTCGGCGAGCTGATTGCCAACTTGCACCATGGCCGACGAGAAGCCTGAAACGGTCGCCAGGGAGCTGGCCTCGGAGCGCTCTTTGAGCCCAGGTTCCTCTCTCGGAAGTCAGTTGGCTACCGTCGAAGGCTCTCCGCCAAAAGAAGAATCTGCTGGGGTCAACAAGGCAGACCTTGAGGATGGCATAGAGCTAGACATCATCGCGAGCCCAGACACCGAGGAAAAGAAAACGGACAAGGGAGAGGAGAAATCCAAGAAGAAGAAGTCTAAAAAGGAGAAGAAGGAGAAAAAGAAGGCCGACCCGGAAGAATCTCAAGAAGATCCCGAGGAGCCTTTTCGACACTTACCCGACAATGAAGCTGAGATTCTCAAGCGGCAGGCTCTGACGCCCAGTCTTAAGCAGGGCATCGCCGCGCTTTACCGGTATAGCACTGGACTCGACATCTTCATCATGATAATCGGGGCCATTTGCTCCATTGGCAATGGTGCTGCTCTACCTCTGATGACACTGCTCTTCAGTGGCCTTCAGAAGACCTTCTCTGAGTTCTCAGTAGGCCTGATCGACAAGAATGGGCTCAGCCATGGCCTTTCAAAGTATGTTTTGTACTTTGTATATCTCGCTATTGGCCAGTTCGTCGTCACCTACATCTCCACCGTGGGGTTCATCTTCGTGGGCGAGAACATCTCTACCCGGATCCGAGAGCATTATCTTGAGAGCTGTCTACGCCAAAACATTGGCTTCTTCGACAAGCTTGGCACTGGGGAAATCATCACTCGCATCACGTCCGATACCAATACTATCCAAGACGGCATCTCGGAAAAGGTAGCAGTCACGATTGGGGCCATCTCAACGTTTGTGACTGCGTTTGTCATTGCGTTTGCGACTTCTTGGAAGCTGACTTTGATTCTTTCGAGTGTCATGTTTGCTATTCTCATCAATGGATCTTTATTTTCTAGCTACATGATGAAGTCCAGCTCCGAGTCCATCTCTGCTTTTGCCCGTGGTAGCACCCTAGCCGATGAAGTCCTCAGCTCTGCTAGGACTGCTGTTGCCTTTGGGTTGCAGGACCGGCTGTCTAAGCAGTATGACAAGTACCTGCAAAAGGCCGAATACTACGGCTTCAGGCTCAAAGCTGCAGTTGGGGTCATGATTGGTGGCATCATGCTGCTCCTCTACATGAGCTATGCTCTGGCTTTTTGGCAAGGCAGCACGTTTGTCTTGAGAGGCGAGATATCTCTCAATCACGTTCTGATTGTGATGATGACAGTATTGATGGGAGCTTTCAACATGAATGCCATCGCGCCCAATGCGCAAATTTTTGCTTCTGCGGTTAGCTCAGCGTCAAAGCTTTTCGACACCATTGATCGTGTTTCGCCCATCGACCCGGCAAGCGAAGAAGGCGACATCATCGAGGCTGTTCAAGGCAATATCAGGCTAGAGAATGTCAAGCATATTTATCCTTCACGTCCCGGAGCTGTCGTCATGGACGATGTTACGCTTGATTTTCCTGCGGGAAAGACGACTGCCTTGGTGGGAGCATCAGGATCTGGCAAGAGCACCATCATAGGTCTTGTAGAGCGGTTTTATAACCCTGTGGGAGGCAACATCTATCTTGACGGGCACAAAATTGCCACACTGAACCTTCGCTGGCTTCGCCGCCAGGTATCTCTGGTTAATCAAGAGCCCACGTTGTTCGGAACGACGATTTTCGAAAACATCCGTTATGGCCTGGTAGGGACCGAGCACGAAAATGAAAGCGAGGAAAAACAGCGCGAGCTGGTCATTGCCGCCGCAAAGAAATCCAACGCTCATGATTTCGTCAGCAACCTAACAGAAGGCTACGAAACTGATGTTGGTGACCGTGGTTTCCTTCTCTCTGGTGGGCAGAAGCAGCG